CTGCCTGAGGCATTTTTAGCTCCAGGGAGGCACTTTTTTGAATGGGATAGTGGCCCTCGATTTGCACAACAGATTTTGCCAGAGAAGGGGGACAGGGGCAGTCCATTAAGTACAAGAAAGTCTGTTCTCTAACACCTTAATAGTGCGAACAACACTGGTTCTGTTTTTTTTCTATGGGGGGTTACAGGGCTGTCCTCCGGACTGTGGGCTCTTTGGGGGCATATGTGTCTGGCCCCCTCTCTTTTAGTCCAGTGGCCCTTCCATTAGATTGAACAGAGCCCCTTCACTTTTCATCTGGATCCTCGTGCTTAGGGTCGGTCGCCCTGGTCTCCCATTAACTGTGGGCATTTTTTTCCAATGTCCTATTTCTTGACAAAATGCACACTGATCGCATCGCAGGCGCAGGCGGGCAGACTGGGGGGCTTTCCAGGAACGCCCGTTTTTCCACACTCTTGGGGCGTTCCTCTCATAGCAGCAGCTATCAGGTCAGCCTTCCGTTGAGCCTGACGCTCCCTTTCCCTATGATTTTCCCTCTGGTTTATCGCCTCTTGGTTCACAAACGCCTGGTTGGCCACTTCCAATAACTGAAGTATTCCTACATGCAGATCCTGCCTGTTTTCTGCCGCTGCACTTGCCTGGACGTGGGAGTCCGCGTTTCCCGGCGGCGAGGGGGATGGTGGTTTCTGTCCCTTGGCTACTAAAACAGTCGCTGCCTGCTCTCTGCCACTTCGGAGGGTTTAACACTAACTGCAACCACGAGTCTATGTGTAGAAATTGATCGAGGTGTTCTAGCTTGCTGTATGTAACCTCATGCCTTACTTTGGAGACAAGGGGCCTGTCTAGGGTCCCCTCTGGGGGCCCCCCCACCCTAAGTGCTGGCCAATCTTCCCTACATAAAACCCTTAATTTCTCTGGTGTCATAGTTACTTTATAATTCTCACTAAATTCCTTCTTGAAATTTTTCAGCATGGTTTCTAAAGGGGTGGGCTTGCTATGGGAGTGAGCCATGTTAACACTTCAAAGAAACAGTTCCCACACTTAGGAGAGTATTAGTTCGCCCACAGCAGTTCCCACCTAGCGAGGTGCAGCACACGGCACTCTCCGATTTACATTCGCTTCAATCCTTTCACAATGTCCAGAGGCTGCTTCACTCAGCCTTAGGTGGCTGTCTCTAATTCTTACAAATTGCTCAACACGTGAGGCCCTTCCTAGTGGGCCCGATACCTTTTACGACTGATGAGTCTGGTCGGACACATCCGCACACAGATACACATCCGCACACAGACACACATCTGCACACAGACACACATCCGAATGCTCTTCCAACGTGCCGATCTGGCACCCGTGGGTGATCAGGCCACGCTTCCATCCAAAATGGGGTGGGCTACTTTCCCCAGTTCAATCTTAGCAAATTCAGTGGTCAAGACTTCCCCAACTGTTCGTTCCTCTTCGGTGTTCAGCCACTGGGTGGATCCGGTCTGCAGGGCCAGGCGAGGCTTTTCCACCGGCCAAATACCTGCCCAGGAGCGCTCTCAGGATGCGTCACCCCAGCGAGCAGGAGTCCCCCCTGCAGGGATGCTCCGCAGGTCAAGGCAAACCACCTAAGAGACTTTTTCTCGCCGTCTGCTATCCGAGACTCGCTTCCTGGCCAACGCACCAAAATGTAGCAGGAGCCGCGGGAAACGGATCTCTGGGACACCGAATACAGGAGGAAGGAGGGTTTATGGGGCCAGGAGCCGGTGGCATCGCTGCCTAACAGCCAAGCTCCCTGAACAAAGGAAGGTTCCGTCTTCATATAGGCTTATGCTTGAGAGTTACGCGTGGAAGAATCTTAGGTTTATAGCTTACCATATGAAAAGGGTCTCAGTTTAGTCTCAGGAATGAAAAGCGGAAGCCATCTGAGATGCCTGGGTCTCCCTCTTCAGTATAAATATCACAGCTAATGAGCCAATGCTTCACGGAGAGTCCCTCAGCTCTTACCATGTTCTCTGTTCCAGGACCCTTGTAACAAGTAGTTTTCATGCTTCCTTAGGCATTTCTTTCTTTCTTTTGAGATGGAGTCTCTCTGTCACGCAGGCTGGAGTGTAGTGGCAGGTGAACCCTTCACCTCCAGGGTTCAAGGGATTCTCCTGCCTCAGCCTCCTGAGTAGCTGGGATTACAGGCACGCACCACCATGCTCAGCTAATTTTTGTGTTTTTAGTAAGATGGGGTTCCACCATGTTAGGCTGTTCTGGAACTCCTGACCACGTGATCTGCTAACCTCAGCCTCCCAAAGTGCCGTGATTACAGGTGCGAGCCACCACACCCAGCCCTTAGGCACATTTTGGCTGTCACAATTTCTCAGACTTGTTTTTATGATCACAACTGTTTTAAGACATCCTGGTCAGGTACTTCGAAGAAGGGCTCTCACTACTCCTCCTTCTCCTCCCTCTCCCCCTGTCCCTCCCCCCCCCTCCCCTCCCCTCTTCTCCTCCCTCCCCCCCCCCCCCCCCCCCCCCGCCCAGACCAAGTCTCGCTCAGGCTGGAGTGCAGTGGCACAGTCTCTGCTCACTGCAGCCTCCGCGTCCTGGGTTCAAGCGATTCCCCTGCCTCAGCCTTCTGAGTAGCTGGGACTACAGGCGCCTACCACCATGCCTGGCTAGGGTTTGACCATATTGGCCAGGCTGGTCTCAAACTCCTGACCTTGTGATCTGCCCACCTCCTTCTCCCAAAGTGCTGGGATTATAGGCATTAGCCACCATGCCTGGAGCTGTGTTTTTTTTAAAAAAATCAATACAGTATTCTGAATTTCTTAGGCCTTTTTAAGGAAACAGATTCACTCTGAGGTTAAAGGACTTGAGGCCAGGTGCGGTGCCTCACGCCTGTAAGGGGGAGGCCAAGGCAGGGGAATCACAAGGTCAAGAGATTAAGGCCATTTTGGCCAACATGGTGAAACCCTGTCTCTACTAAAAATACAAAAATTAACTGGGCGTGGTGGCGCACTCCTGTAGTCCCAGCTACCCGGGAGGCTGAAGCAGAAGAATCACTTGAACCTGGGAGATGGAGGTTGCAGTGAGCAGAGATCCCGCCACTGCACTCAGCCTGGTGACAGAACGAGACTCTGTCTCAAAAATAAAAAAAAGGACTTGAAGTGGGCCAGGCAGGCAGATCACTTGAGGTCAGGAATTCAAAACCAGGCTGATGAACACGGCAAAACCCCATCCCTACTAAAAATACAAAAACTAGCCAGGCATGATGGCAGTCACCTGTAATCCCAGGTACTTCGGAGGTGGAGGCTGTAGTGGGCCGAGATCACAGCGCTGCACTGCAGCCTGGGTGACAGAGCAAGACCCTGTCTCAAAAATAAATACATAAATAACTTGCAGTAGAACCGGGAGTGGAGCCCAGCCTTTTCTCACTGAAGCAGGTGCCGTATTTGCTTGCCATGTCTGGGGAGAAGTGATCTGGGCTTTGTGGGCTGGGGAAGGTATCGGACCGACGGAAGGCACGAACAGCTACAGCAAGGTGCTGGAAGACACGCTTCCTCTTGCGGCTGACTTTCCCACGCTGGAAAGTTCCGGAGCCTCATGTAGTGCACGGCTTCCTGTCTCAGTGCCTACAGCTCCCATATATTTTCTCTGGCTCAGCCTGACTCCCCCATACCTGCCAGTGTGAGTCTGGGCCTGGTTCATGACAGGCCGGCAGGGCCGGGACAGAGCCCTTGAGTGACCACTGTGTCCTTCCAAAGCTTCCTTTTCGGCCGTTGCCTCAGTGACCTGTGCCACTGACCATTTTTGGTTGTTGAGACAGGGTCTTGCTCTGTTCCTAGGATGGAGCACAGTGCAGGCGGTGCTGAGGTCATGGCTCCCTTCCCGGCTCAAGCGATCCCCCACCTCAGCCTGAGTAGCTGGGACTACAGCTGCAGGCCACCTCGCCTGCCTAGTTTTTCTGCTTTTGTAGGGACGGGGTCTTCCTATCTTGCCCAGGCTGGTCTTGAACTCCTGGGCCCAAGCTGTGCACCCACCTTCGCCTTCCCAAAGTGCTAGGATTACAGGTGTGAGCCATGAGTTGGGGATCCCTGGCCCCCAACTGATCAGCTCTTTCAGATTCCAGCAGCTCTGGAATAGGACTTCATAATGGGAATGTTTCCTTCTTACTGTCTGATTCGATGCTCACTACCCCATGTGGCTGCTGAGCGTTTATTTTATATTTTGTGGAGACAGAGTCTCACTCTCTTGCCCAGGCTGGAGTGCAGTGGCACAATCACGGCTCACTGCAACCTTTGCCTCCTGGGTTCAAGGGATTCTCCTGCCTCAGCCTCCTGAGTAGCTGGGATTACAGGCGCGTGCCACCACGCTTGGCTCATTTTTCTATTTTTAGTAGAGACGGGGTTTTAACATGTTGGCCAGGATGGTCTCAAACTCCTGACCTCAAGCGATCCACCCGCCAGAGCCTCCCAAACTGTTGGGAATACAGACGTGAGCCTCCGCACTCAGCCCTGAGTGTCTAAAATGTGCTTAGTATGATTGAGGACATGGTGTTTTAATTTTATTTAATTTTGCTTATTTTGAACTGAAACAACCGCGTAGCTGGTGGCTGCTGTTGGGCATCACAGTTCCAGGTTGTGCTGATGCATCACGGTCAGGGAGACCATCCTGGCCCCATGGACACTTTCCGCCAGCTGTCCTCTTTCCTGGCCTGGCGTTCTCTGTACCTGGCGTCGCGTTCTGGGTGGTCCGTCTCCTCCTGCTGTTCACGGCCTCCCTCGCTTTGTTAAAGGAGAAGGTGCACAGGGCTTGTGTGTTTTGTTCTTCAGCGTTTCACTCAGAACAGGCGGGAACCAGCTTTGTGGGGAGTGGGGGTGTCCTCGAGACACCTTCCTGGGGCTCTGCCAGAGCCGTGTCTTCGCTCCAGGCTCTTCCAAGTCGTCTGAGAATTTGGAAATAACATCTTGTCAGAGAAACTCAGAAGTGATTTGGGAACAGAGGTCATAAGGATGAATCTTGTCTTTCAACATTAGGCGAGAACCGCTGTCTCTGATCAACCTGCGGAAGAGGAACGTGGAATCTGGGGAAGAAGAGTTGGCGTCCAGGCTGGACCACTACAAAGCCAAGGCCACGCGGCACATATTCCTCATCAGGCACTCCCAGTACCACGTGGATGGCTCCCAGGAGAAGGACCGCACTCTGACCCCGCTGGGTATGTGGGGGGGAATCAGATCATCTACAGTCCCTTGGTTATGTGGGGGGTTCAGATCCTCCGTGGACGCCCCCTTGGTTATGTGGGGGGTGGTCAGATCCTCCGTGGACCCCCCTTGGTTATGTGGGGGGTGGTCAGATCCTCCGTGGATCCCCCTTGGTTATGTGGGGGGCTCGGATCCTCCGTGGATCCCCCTTGGTTATGTTGGGGTGGTCAGATCCTCCGTGGATCCCCCTTGGTTATGTGGGGGGGGTCAGATCCTCCGTGGATCCCCCTTGGTTATGTGGGGGGGGTCAGATCCTCCGTGGATCCCCCTTGGTTATGTGGGGGGGTGGTCAGATCCTCCGTGGATCCCCCTTGGTTATGTGGGGGGTGGTCATATCCTCCGTGGATCCCCCTTGGTTATGTGGGGGGGGTGTTAGATCCTCCGTGGATCCCCCTTGGTTATGTGGGGGGGGGTGGTTAGATCCTCCGTGGATCCCCCTTGGTTATGTGGGGGGGGGTGGTCAGATCCTCCGTGGATCCCCCTTGGTTTTGGGGGGAGTGGTCAGATCCTCCGTGGATCCCCCTTGGTTATGTGACTGGACACAGGTCTCCAGAGACCGCCAGTCAGCTTTTTTAAAAGTGCTTGGGGCATGGGGCCTCCTGGAGCCTATGTCTGAGTCCATCACCCCTGAATCAAACGTCATTACCAGTGACTGTCAGCTGCACTTGGACAGAAGACAAGCTTTTTTTTTTTTTTTTTTTTTTTTTTTTTTTTGAGACGGAGTTTCGCTCTTGTTACCCAGGCTGGAGTGCAATGGCGCGGTCTCGGCTCACCGCAACCTCCGCCTCCTGGGTTCAGGCAATTCTCCTGCCTCAGCCTCCTGAGTAGCTGGGATTACAGGCACGCGCCACCATGCCCAGCTAATTTTTTGTATTTTTAGTAGAGACGGGGTTTCACCATGTTGACCAGGATGGTCTCGATCTCTCGACCTCGTGATCCACCCGCCTCGGCCTCCCAAAGTGCTGGGATTACAGGCTTGAGCCACCGTGCCTGGCCGAGAAGACAAGCTTTTAAAAATGTCCTTACTTTGGCTGGGTGTGGGGGTTCACACCTGTAATCCCAGCACTTTGGGAGGCCGAGGCAGGCAGATCACCTGAGGTCAGGAGTTTGAGACCAGCGTGGCCAACATGGTGAAATCTCATCTCTACTAAAAGTACAAAAATTAGCCAGGTGTGATGGCTCACACCTGTAGTCCCAGCTACTCGGGAGGCACAGGCAGGAGAATCACTTGAACCTGAGAGGTGGAGGTTGCAGTGAGCCGAGATCACACCACTGCACTCCAGCAATGTCAGGCCAGGCATGGTGGATCATGAGGTAAAGTGTTCGAGACCAGGCTGACCAACATGATGAAACCCCTTCTCTACTGAAAATACAAAAAATTAGCCAGGCGTGGTGATGCATGCCTGTAGTCCCAGCTACTCGGGAGGCTGGGGCAGGAGAATCGCTTGAACCCAGGATGGGGAGGGTGCAGTGAGCCGAGATTACACCACTGCACTCCAGCCTGGGCGACAGAGTGAGAGACTGTCTCCAAAAAAAAAATGTCCTTACCTTTTAGCAAACGTTAGATCTTGTCTGCATGAGACCAAACTGAGTGCAAATCCCAGCAGGGGCTTTGTGCCCGCGTGAGGCATTGGAAGCAGCACGGCCCGTGCCCTCCGCTGCTCGCCTGGATCTGCTGCCGAAGACCGTCTCTTCTGCACTCACGGGCCTGCTGTCTGGCACCTGCCTCTTAACACCCTGCCGAGCGGGCGGCTCAGCGAAGGCATCCCGCCTGTGCCCACGGGCAGATCCTGGCAGACAGCGCCAGGAGGGCCTTCCGCCTTTGTCCTGTGTCCGTGGGCGGAGCTGTAGGGTAAATGCCTGCGAAGGGAAACGCAGGCTGGGCTGAGGTGGAGTCTTCAGGTTCTGAATGGGGTAGAGTCCGTCAGGCACTTGTGAAGAATTAGAACGGCACATGTACAGGCCTGTCCTCCAGCGGACGTCTTCCGCAGCTCCAAGAGCTGTCCTGGCTGCTTGTGGAAAATGGGCGGTGAGGGGGACGCAGGTGTGGCTGCACCGAGTGGACCCAGCCTTCCTGGGGGCGTCTCCACCTGGGTGCCAGAGTTCACCAGAGAAAAGGCGTCAGGAGCAGCGCGGGGGCTCAGGTCCCGCCGTGCGGGCCTCTGAGTGTTGCGTGGCTGGCGGGCCGCCGGGGCTCCGGCTTTGGGCTGCCGCTGCTGGGATCAGATGCGTGTCTTTTCCTGTACGGAGGTGAAGACAACTGGACCATCTTGTTGCTCGTGCCGAGTGCCGGCTGCTCAGGCCCAGGCCCCGGGAGGGCAGGAGGAGGGTGTGCGGCTGTGCGGCCCCCTCAGGCGCGTTTTGCCCTCCAGGTCGGGAGCAGGCTGAACTCACCGGGCTCCGCCTCGCAAGCCTGGGCTTGAAGTTTAATAAAATCGTCCATTCCTCTATGACGCGCGCCGTAGAGACCACCGACATCATCAGCCGGCACCTGCCAGGTGAGCGCCGGCGCGGGGCCTCTGTGCCTGCAGCGGGGGCAGCTCCTCCGGCGGGGCCGGGCGTGGCGTCGCCGCACTCAGGGCCTCCCGTGCCTCTCCCCAGGCGTCTGCAAAGTCAGCACAGACCTGCTGCGGGAAGGTGCCCCCATCGAGCCGGACCCGCCCGTGTCCCACTGGAAGCCGGAAGCTGTGGTAAAACCCTCCCCGCCTCCCCGGCCGCGCGGCTCTGCGGGGCTCAGCGTCCGCCACGGGCCTGGCTGTCGCGCGCTGCCCCCGATCCCCGCCTTGCCCTGTATCCCACGCTGACGGTCCCCCGCTCTGCCCCCAGCAGTATTACGAAGACGGAGCCCGGATCGAGGCCGCCTTCCGGAACTACATCCACCGGGCGGACGCCAGGCAGGAGGAGGACAGCTACGAGATCTTCATTTGCCACGCCAACGTCATCCGCTACATCGTGTGCAGGTGGGCAGCTGCCGGCCGGGCTGGGTGTGGCCTCAAGTGAGTTCAGACTCGGGAGGAAGGACCGAGAAGCCGCGCGAGCCTCCCCCCCTCTGCGGCCGATGCCACCCTGGTGGGGCCCTTGCAGCCCACGGGCGTCCGGGTCCCTCACGCAGCAGGCGCCTGTTACCTGCAGTGTCTCATGGGCGTGCGTCTGGGCAGGGCTCGTGCAGACCCGGAGGGTGCCGGTGCGCGTCCGGCCAGTGCGCTCCACGGTCCCGCACTTGGAGCAGACACATGGGAAGTCCACGTGCCTCCGTGTGTGTGGGCTCCACAGCGAGGGCCCCTCGGGTGTGGCGGGTCCTGCGGTGGGGGCGGGACGGCACCGGTCGGTGATGCCGCTTGAGGCTGGGCCCTGGTTTCTGCCCGCCTGTCCCCGTGGCCTTTCACCATGGCTGGGGCTGGCAGGCAGGAGCACCCAGGAACTCAAGGAGGTTGGGAGTTGGATTGAGAGCGCTTTTCCGTGGGGCTTGGAGCCTCCGGATGATGTGGATTCAGGCTGCTGTGTGAAGTGAGCATCTGTGTGCTGTGGGTCATCTGCTGCTTCGTGTGTGTGTGGCCACATGGGTGGTTTCTCTGCTGCTAACAGCACCTTGGGTGTCCCATGACACCGTCACCCCAAGGTGACAGGTGCTGAAAATGCACAGAAATAGCCAGGGCAGGGGAGCGGAGCTGACCTGTGTGGATACATGAGGGCCGGGCAGGTGCACGTGGACAGGGGGTCAGTGTGCTGTCCGCCCACGGCCGCCAGCACCACAGGGCAGCAGTGTGACGGTGGCCTCGCCGTCCACTGTGGCAGAGGGTGGTGGGCAGCTGGAGGCGGGGATGCCAGCACAGCGTTTCCGCAAATGAGGACTGTGCCTAAGATGTGCCTGAAGATGCCACGGGCTGTCACTCACATGACCGTCCTTCCATTTCCCAGAAAGGGACCTGCTGCACTGATTGGCTGCCCCCTGCTTTTTTAATATGGAAAAGGCAGAAATTAAATTGTTTCTTTGTAAGAAGTTAGCACTTTTCTGATTGGTGTGAATCTTGAGTTGGGGTTGGGCCCTTGTCCTGAGGAGGGCAGGTCCCCAGGTGTCACAGTGCGACTGATGTGGATACCACCCAGCTCTTCCCTGAGAAGCGAACGCGTACCCTAGCCCTGAGGCCGCCCTGAGACTTCTTACTGAGGGGCTCAGCCCCCGTCCATAGGCCAGAGCCCCCGACCCGGCCCGGCCAGGCTCCAGTGTGCTTTCTCCCCTCCTCAGAGCGCTGCAGTTCCCTCCCGAAGGCTGGCTCCGGCTCTCCCTCAACAACGGCAGCATCACCCACCTAGTCATCCGACCCAACGGCCGAGTTGCACTCAGGACCCTCGGGGACACAGGGTTCATGCCCCCCGACAAGATCACCCGGTCCTGAGGGCGCCCACCCGGCCCCGGCCTCTCCTTCCCTCTGCCCTCCCCGCACCGGCCGCACCACGGTCACGTCTTGTTCCCGAGGAGGCCGGCAGAAAGTAGAAACCCACGACGCAGCACCTGGGGACTGACCCTGGCCGGGCTGGAGAGGGGCGAGTTCGGATCAGACGGCCTGACTTCTCTGCAAGGTTTGACACCTGGCCGTGACCCAGCAGCACAGCACGGGGTTTCAGGTGAGAGCCCCTCGTACAGAAGTCAGGCCTGTTCAGGGGACTTGAGGCCTGGCCCAGACCGCCATGTTGGCAGCCACAGCCCACCCTTGCTGAGGGTCCATGCCCCGCTGCACAGGCACAGGCAACTGAGGCACACGGGTGGGGCACTGAGGTTCCGTTCACAGCTCACCACACTTCATACATCCTCTTAATTTCTTAAAACGCTCCTTAAATGTTTGTCAATTAAAGCTTTTCTGGCTGGGCACAGTGGTGCCCACCTGTATTCCCAGCTGCTTGGGAGGCCAAGGTGGGAGGATCGCTTGAACCCAGGAGTTCAAGACCAGCCTGGACAGGCAGCAGTAAGACCCCACGTCTACTAACAGACAGCACAGAAGGGAGCCGGGCGCGGTGGTGGCCCTCTTAGTCCCAGTGATGGGAGGCTGAGGTGTCTGGGCCCGGGAGTTGGAGGCTGCAGTGAGCTGTGACTGTGTCATTGCACTCCAGCCTGGGCAGCCGAGGGAGACAGGAAAAACAGGTTCTCCAAATGGACAGCTTCCTGAAGGACTAGCCAGCTACACAAGTGACTCTGGACAGGCCTGGCCTTTGACCTTCATGCTGCTCTCAAGGTTGAGGTGACGCGCTGGAGACGGCCCAGCAGGGGGTCATCCTTACTCAGTAAAATATTCCAAATTGACAGCTCAGTCTTAGCTTAAGGATTAAAATATTTAAACGTGTGTATGTATCCCAGGTATTGTTAATTCAGGAAAAGCTGTACAATTTCTATAAAGTGGTTGTATTTTCCGTAATCACTACAATTGGGATATTTGATCTATTTCTCTGTCCACTTTGGAAATTATTACATAATAAAATTTTACTGTTTTTTTAAAAGGACTACTTTCGACTGTGTTAACAATGGGAAACTGGCCAGGTGCGGTGGCTCACTCCTACAATCCCAGCACTACAGGAGGCCGAGGCAGGCAGATCACAAGGTCGGGAGTTTGAGACCAGCCTGACCAACATGGTGAAACCCTGTCTCTACTAAAAATGCAGAAACTAGCCGGGCATAGTGGTGGGAGCCTGTAGTCCCAGCTACTTAGGAGGCTGAGGCAGGAGAATTGCTTGAACCCGAGAGGCGGCGGTTGCAGTGAGATCTCGCCACTGCACTCCAGCCTGGGTGACAGAGCGAGACTCCATCTCAGATAAGGAACCCTTTGCACCACGTCCTGCCTCCGTCACACCAACTGGCTGCTCACGACTTCCGCCAGCGGCCTGGGCCCTCTCCGGATCCCTGACCAGTGGCTGTGGACATGACAGCCGCAGCAGCCGTACACAGCTGTCTAGAAACAGTCTGATAAGCCAGGCCCGCGCCAACTTCAGAGATGCCAGGCACACTCACGTTTGACCTCCGATGGGGGCGAGGCTGGTGAGGAAGGGACTGGCTGCACACACGTGCCCGCACGCCACAGCCCCAGCACCGGGCCTGCAGGGATGGGGCCGCGCTGCAGGGCAGAGCCTTCGTTCTGCTGAGGGCGGCGGCTCCTCTGTACAGTGGGAAGCTTGGAGGTGGGGGCTGGGCAGCAAAGCTCCTCACCATGTGGAAGACCACGCACAGCCGGCCGCCATCCCCGCCCACCCCACGGCCACTCACGTCACAGCTGTGACCGACTCGCGTGAAGATCTAGACGGACTACCTGGTCAAAAGCGGGGCGGGAGGGAGCACGTGAGCAGTTGTGAGTGGACGACAAGAAACCAGCGACCCAGAAGTCGTGAAATGCGTCTGCAAAAAAAAACCCAGAAGGAAAGAAAACCTGATGCTGCTGCTTAAGTCAGATTTGAGGTCAAGGATGTGAAATGGGCTTTCAGATTTTGAAAAGCTTCTCAAGGATTAACCGATGTTTATTTTTTAAGAGCACAGAGCGATAATAACCTGTATTTTTCTTTTTCTTTTTTTTTTTTCCGAGTCTACAGCCCTTGGTATTCCCAGGCAGCCTCCAATCCACGCCCCAACCAGGCCGGCCCTACCCTGCGGCTTATCTGCCAAAATCAGAGAGATTGGGAGCGTTCAGGGTAGTATGGCCACAGATGATTACCTGAGTTTCTTGAATATGAAACTTGAAATAATTTTCAGTTTCTTTTTCTAGTGTAAATTCCCAGCACACTTTTTTGAGACATAGTCTAGCTCCGTCACCCAGGTGGGAGCACAGTGCCACAATCTCAGGTCACTACAACCTCCGCTTTTGAGGCTAAAGCGATCCTCATGCCTCAGCCTCCCAAGCAGCTTGTTCTACAGCTGTGCGTCACTGCACCTGGCTGATCTTTGTATTTTTAGTAGAGATGGGGTCTCGCTACGTTGGCCAGGCGGGTCTCAAGCTCCTGGCCTCAAGTGATCTGTCCGCCTCAGCCTCCCAAGCATATAAGCCACTGCACCTGCGGGCTTTTCCATTCCCAAATACCTGCTGTTCCATGTGATCCTTCCATCAACGGCCTTTTCAGTCTTCTGCATTTGGGACAGACGTAGATTCAGCAAAGTGAGGATGGCTTCTGGCTTGACCAGTAGATGGTGGGGTCTAATTTCTGAATGCTGGACTCAGGGCAGACACAGGTGGGGAGACCAGGGAGTGGGGAGCTGACGGATGTTAGGGCAGCCCCCAGGGATCTCGGCACGTGAGTGTGCGTGTTGTGTGTTGTGAACGCCTACAGGAGGGGAGGGCTGAGGGCGTCTGGACTGGGCCAGTCACGGGCCCAGGGATGCCAATGATGGAAACTGTCCCCTAGTCTGGGACAGATGACTGAAGACCTCTCCAGGGTTGGTAACAACCCTCAGTCTGGCCAGAGTGAAAACTGCACACCAGAAGCCTGATTGAGACCGGCGGGAACGGCATGCCACCAGATGGCAGCCAGCTGCCAGGGACTGTCCTGCTCCTGCTGATGTTCATCCACAATCTTTTCTCAAGACAGCTGAGAAGAGCACTAGCGGGGCAATCAGCAGCTAGAGTGGTCACGGTGTTTCCAACCACGCCAAGCAGACACCCGGGCCCTGCACGTGCACACAGCCTGGCCTCGGCGAGGGTTCCGCCCCTGAGAAAGCGCTGCTTATGGAAACATGCAGATGACTCAGGAAGATCTGGCTGTGGTCCCTGCCGTGGCGTGGCTGGCACTCACACGGCTGGCACGAGGCACCATAGCTGCTTTTACCCTAGAAATGAGCATCAGACTCAACAGGCATCTCCCTCACAGCTGCCACCACCTGACCCACTCAAGCAGGGTGCCGGGCATCACATTTTCAAACCAAAGCCATCGTACCAACTGTTAACGCCACAAAGGTTCCCACTGCCAAGAGCCACGGTAACATCTCTGCTCCTTTAACTGATGCCAGAAAGTCTTTCACAACTGAGCTAGTCAGGAAAGGGGTCTAAAAACAGCAAGTACATGTGAGGGCGCCCAGGCTGACACGCCACATAACCAAGATAGTGCAGTGTGCCCGGGTGGGTGCAGGTGAGACAGATCCTTCTGAAAGCTTAGAATTATTACCGTGTGGTTTAGAAGTAATTCATTAATTCACTTCTTTAAGTGTTTCATAAGGGACATAAACCCCCTGGGACACACGAGAATGCCTTTCCTGGGACCAGAATCACCTCCCACAAACAAACGGAGAAAGTCACAGGTGGCCTAAGCCATGGGAAATCAGCAGCAGTCTACGTACAAAATCAGGGCAAGAAACTTTTACTTTGTATTTGAATTTACAACAATATACAGACAATATGGTAACATTTTAGAGAAAACAGATCATCACTATGAATATCTATAATCTGATTTCTTTTGAGAACCAAGATGGCTTTTTAAAAGGCTGCTTTTTAGAACAGAATGTGTTGTTTCTGTCTGGTATCTAGATCTTGTCTGCTACACCCTGTGTAACAAACTTGAATTTTAACATTTAAATCTTGATTCCAATATTCCTGACCTATCTTCTGTCATGTGAAAGGAATAAGCTTTTTTTTGAGTCGGAGTCTTGCTCTGTGGCCAGGCTGGAGTGCTGTGGTGCAATCTCAGTTCACTGTAACCTCTGCCTCCCGAGTAGCTGAGACTACAGGCACGTGCCACCACACCCGGCTGCTTCTGTCTTTTCAATCGTGATGGGGTTTCACCACATTGGCCAGGCTGCTCTCTGACCCCTTTCCTTGGGATCCACCTACCTTGGTCTCCCAAAGTGCTGCGATTACAGGCGTGAGCCACTGCCCCCGGCCGAGTTTGTCTTGTTTTTTTTAAAGTTTCAATTTAGAATTTTTATGAACAAAAATAATCTTACACCTACTTAATATCAGTATATATTCTCAAAAAGCAAGTTCAGGAAATTTTAAATGATTTACAAAAGGCACTGAAGTTAGCAAAAGCATTGGTGGGTTTTCATTTTGGATTAAACACTGGAAATGTCCACAGAGTAACCACCGTGTGAGCGGCTGTCCGTAACACCCAGGAAGACACTGACCTCCCGTTACTGCCTCCTGGTCACCTCGGCGAGCTCACGGCTGCTGCGTTCCCAGCTCCTCTCGCATTCTGACCACAGACCTCCATGAAAGCCAAGGTGAAGGCTACGGTGAGCACCGCCAGGGACTGAAACGCGGCTCAAACCTCTAGCTTCTGTACGTAAGGCAATGGAAACCCCAACCGAAACCAACTCCAAAATAAAGGATAGCTTTACCATATCATCATTTATGCCCAACGGATCCTCTGAATTTCACACAGAACAATCGACAGGTTTTATGACTGCTCCACTGGCACCTAAATGAGATGGCCGAGAAAGCTCAAGTGCTGATGAAACCTCCGAACACCTGGGTGCCACTGCCGGGAACTTGGTGTGGCTGCTGGCATCACTCCCACGGGCCACAGGACTTCCCAAGAGAAAAGCTGTTTGAGGTGCACTCGGGCTCCCTGCTCTCTGCCGGCCCCCTTCTCCCTCTGTCTAACCCATGAGACCTACAGGCGAGCCAGCGGGGACCCTGCTACCATCAGACGCGGCAAGGAGGCACACAGCTCAGGTATTGCCAAGGCCTCCACCACGCCCCTCCCCGTCCGCGCGTGGGACGCTGGTGGGTGCGTGGCCCTCCCCGCCGTTTCCTCTGCTACATTGCAGGCCTAGAAATTGCCGCCTGAAGTCTACCATTACCACACTGACAGTTTCCAGAAAACTGGTATCTGAGTTTCAGTAACTTACAACTTCTTCCAAAATACCAGAAATCTAAGTTTTGTAGAGAACCATGTAAATTTTCTAAAATTCTCACACCTCAAAGTGAGGATTAATAATTTAATAAGAATATACTCCTTTGTGACATTTTAGCAAAAAACACACGACCCTTCCTCCTTTAGAAATGAAGAGCGAAACGAGCCCCCGCCGTGAGCCTACGGGGCGCTGAGCTCGGCCAGGCGCGCCATCCTGCGGAGCTGGCTCCCACGCGCGGGGCTGTAGCGCCCAGGGCTGCCCGGGCCCGGCTTCCTGGGGCTGCTCCCGGCCGCACCGTTTCTCCCCGGACTGGAGCTGTGAGGTCCGCTGAGATCCGGCGGCCAAGACTTGAACTTTCCTTTCAGCGCGGGGCTGGGCCAACTACAGAAAGCAAGAAGGAACAGTCAGCAGACGCCGGGCCTGGAGATGACAGCGAGAGCGCTGGGGCGCAGGGGCCCGGACGCGGGCACGGCTCCCGGGAGGCGCAGTCCCGGCACCGCGGCACTGGGAGGGCCGAGCGCACGGGGTTCCCAGGAGCGGCTTGTGCGACCCCGAGTATAAATCCTGTTTCCGCCCCCACGGCCCTCAGCTTCTCGGCAGCAGACCCGTTCTAGTTTCCACCCAACCAGGGACGGCCTGGGTGCACAGAGCCTCAACACGCACACCCACCGCCCGGCTGCCGGGCCTGCCGGCGCGACGCAAGACCACCGACACGTCCGTGGGAACTGGCGCGGCGCTCCGGGTGGGTCCCACGTACCTCTGCCTGTCGGAGGGCGAGTAGCACAGGACGGCACTCTTCCATCTGTGCACAGCCGGGAACTGACGCGGGTCCACGTCCACACATTCAAGAGCAGCCAAAACATCCTGATCTAGTTTCGACGGCTCCTCTCTGGAAAGCACAATACAAGAAGCTAAAACATCTTTGGTAAAAAAAGTAAGGAATTCTAAAATACCACTTTTTTTTTTTTTGAGATGGAGTCTCACTCTGTCACCCAGCCTGGAGTGCAATAGTGTCATCTCAGCTCACTGCAACCACCACCACCCGGGTTCAAGAGATTCTCTGCCTCAGCTTCCTGAGTAGCTAGAATTAAAGGCACGTGCTGCAATACCCAGCTAATTCTTGTATTTTTAGTAGAGACGGGAGTTTCACCATGTTGACCAGGATGGTCTTGATCTCTTGACTTCAAGTGATCCACCTGCCTTGGCCTCCCAAAGTGCAGGGATTACAGGTGTGAGCTACCGCACCGGCCACCTTTCTTCTTAAAATAATCTAATTCGTAGAACAGATCAATGACACTGGTGGCAGGAAACCCTGAAGGACACCTAGAAGCTACAAACTCAAACATGGCAGCCGAAAGCCCACGTCAGGTCCACACGGAGGTTTGTGTGGGGGCCGGTGCGGTGGTGAGGCCGGTCATCCCAGCACTGCGGGAGGCCGAGGTGGGCAGATCATCTGAGGTCAGCCTGTCTCTACCAGAAGTACAAAAATGAGCCAGGCATGGTGGGGGGCACCTGTAGTCCCAGCTACTCAGGAGGCTGAGGCAGGAGAATCGCTAGAAGCCGGGAGGTGGAGGTTGCCGAAAGCTGAGACGGCGCCACCGCACTCCAGCCTGGGTCACAGGGCGAGATTCCCTCTCAACAAAAAAAGAAAGTGTGTGTGGGGAAGGAAGAGATTTAAAAACAGGGCTGCAGGCACGCACACGGGAGCACACAGTTACCCAGAAAGGAAGAGCCGCCTGGCCGATTCCCTCGTGAGCTCGGGCTGCTGACCCTCGTGCCCGGCGCAGCTGGTGCCCAAGGACATTCTAGCAATCCTGGCTGACATTTCCCACTCTGCCCTCCCCTGGTCATTCCCGAGTGGGTCTGCAGGAGAAGCCGCCTCCAAGTCACTTCCTTCCGCATCGATTCTTGAAGTCGGGATCTTCTCTTTGGTTTTCATATTTTCATCTGGTGTCTTAGAAGCACTACTTCCTAGATTTTGCAAATTCAGTTTATCAAACTCAGCAGTTAAACCGGTGACAGGTGGCAAAGGAGCTTCCTCCCCAGGGGGTGCCTTTGCTTTCTTGCCCTCCATGGTCTTGCTGTGACTCGGAGGCGGGCAGAGCCCATTTCTGCCGCTGCGCAGACCACCTGGCTCTGAGGTTTCTATGAGGTCTGCCTCCTGCTCTGAAGGGAAGGCTCTGCACCCCGCGTTTCCAGAAGCACCCATCCTGGGCTGGCCATTGTTTCGAGCTGTATTTTGCCGATTTTTTATTTCTTCCAAGCTCACGTCATCTTCATCTAGAAACGCCCTCACGGAAATGGAATTGCTGCCTATGAGGATGAAAAGGGAGCACGTCAGTGACGGGGACGATAGGCCACGGGGCTGCTCTGCTCCAGGCATGACCCACCCCACAACTCCAGCAACAGTGACCCCCGCATATCCAGAACCTCCTCAGCAGTGACCCCACGTCCAGAACCTCAATAGCAACCATCCAGAACCTCAACAGTGCCCCTCACATCCAGAACCTCCTCTTCAGACTTTAAGACAGAAAATCACCAGCACGACTCCCTGGAAAATGGCAAACAGAATCCTGCAGAAAGAATCAGGCTGCCGGCGCCTGGTGCAGCAGCTCTCACCTATAATTCCAGCACTCTGGGAGGCCACAGCAGGAAGGTTGCTGGACCCCAGGAATTCAAGACCACCTGGGCAATAAAGCGAAACCCCATTCGCTACAAAGAAATAGAAAAAGAGCCAGTGTCGTGGCGTACACCTGCAGTTTCAGCTATTCGGGAGGCTCCACTGGGAGGATGACCTGAGCCCAGGAGGTTAAGGCTGCAGTCGGCTGTGATCGTGCCACTACTCTCCAGCCTGGGCCACGCAGTGAAACCCTATGTCAGAAGGGGCGGGGGGAGGTGCCAGACCGACTGCTTTTCTTTCAAAGGCAGGGAAATGAAAAGGCCCAGGGCAGCCCGGGTGATGGGCGAGGTGACCACTGTGTACTTCCAGCCACCCTCCGGCTCTCATCTACTGGGACCCCAGGGGCTCCGAGTGCCACAGTGCCCCGCAGGGTCCTGGAAGACTGTGCAGAACAACTCCATGAAATAGTACTGCTGCACTTTATTCTGTGACCACAACACAGAGGAGGTCCTGAGAGCAGCACTGCCCCGTTTGGTGTTCACAACGGTGACCCCGGCCACAGGTGCATCCAGAACCCTTGAACTGTGGCTCGTGCTACTTAGGAAATGAGTCAACTTTATTAAAATTTAAATAATCGCAAGACAACAGAGTAAATGAGGCCACTTTACAGAAGTTAGTTATGTACCACTGTCAGCTACAACCCAGCAAGGCCAGATTCTCATTTTTTTCCTATCATTCCAGGGAGTTTGTTTTATAAATGAAGTGTCTTATAGGCTAATGGTCCTATTTTGGCCTTAAAAACACACACACGGGCCGGGCGCGGTGGCTCACACCTGTAATCCCAGCACTTTGGGAGGCTGAGGCGGGTGGATCACGAGGTCAAGAGATCGAGACCATCCTGGTCAACATGGTGAAACGCCGTCTCTACTAAAAATACAAAAAATTAGCTGGGCATGGTGGCACATGCCTGTAATCCCAGCTACTCAGGAGGCTGAGGCAGGAGAATTGCCTGAACCCAGGAGGCGGAGGTTGCAGTGAGCCGAGATTGCGCCATTGCACTCCAGCCTGGGTAACAAGAGTGAAACTCTGTCTTTAAAAAAAAAAAAAAAAACAAACACACACACAGGTTTAAATGTAATTATCTGCTTTAATTTTGATTTTAGCAAATTCCAATCTCTAGTTATTAGAAAATTTTTTGCTTTTAATAAATAGAGACGGAGTCTCACTATGTTGCTCAGGCTGCTTTCGAACTCCTGGGCTTCAGGAGTTGGCCTCCCAAGGTGCTGGGATTACAGGTGTGAGCCACCATGCCCAGCCTTCGTTGGAGTTTTCTGTTTGTTTCCTTTGGAGACAGACTCTTGCACTGTCGCCCACGCTGGAGCACAGGGCTGTGATCTTGGCTCACTGCAACCTCCATCTCCCAGGTTTAAGCGATTCCCCTGCCACAGTCTCCAAAGTAGCTGGAACTATTGGCGCCGGGTTAATTTTTGTATTTTTAGTAGAGATGGGGCTGGTCTTGAACACGTAACCATGTAATCTACCCGCCTTAGCCTCCCAAAGTGCTGAGATTACAGGCGTGAGCCACTGCACCTGGCCATTCATGCTTTTATGAATCACTATTAGATTCTGTGTAGTTATTCTCTTCCATCGTGATATTTCCATTCACTGTGTCTGTGCTTTGGAAGTACTTTGCGCCCTGGCGTCTGATACACACCTGTGAAGGGCTTTGACTCCTGGCGTCTGATACACGCCTTGTGAAGTGCTCTGTGCTGCGGTGTCCGATCTAGACACCAGTATTCTGGTGTGCAGTTGTCCTTATCTCTTTCCTGACAATCATACCAAACCTACAATATTATAGTCTCAGCCACTGTAGTTCAGCCATTATGAGTTTTGAGAAAATGGCACAGAATGAAGTAGTATTAGATTTTGGGAACTGCAACCACAAGCAGAAATAGCAATACTGCTGCAAGTGATGCCGTATTTTTCCTATATCCCCCGTGACGCATACCCCATTGAGCATTAACCAAAGGAACAGTTCCCACCTTTACATTAAAGACACAGATGTGCACTTCCTGTCAGACCCTGGCCACAGAGGCCCAGTCCCAGCTGCCACAGCCGTGCCTGTGTGTGCTTACCAGACATGGTGGCTTTATCTCGGCAGCCTTCCCTTTCTCCTGTTTCTTGTTGAGCCTTTTTGCCTATTTCCTGCTGAGTAAGATAATCTTCCAGTCTTTGCAGGCCTTCCTGGGAAGACAGATCAACAAAACAGCCCAGAAATTCCCAGTATTCAACCCAGGGATACCCCAGCTCATGAGCTAGCTCCCTGTAAGAAATAAAACACAATTAACCAGTTGTGAAACCAGAAAAAACTTAGAACTACACAGAAAACAGCCACTAATGCTTCAAGTACCAAAGCAATGTCTGCAATCATGGTTTTAACTTTATTCCCGAATTTGCGGCTGAAATGATACTTTGCATTTTTCTGAAACAGCACTCCTCCTCACAGGGTAAGCAGGAGCTGGCAGAGTTCTCATGAGCACTGAACCAGTGGCAGGTTACGTGGACCCTCCCACCAGCAACCTCGTGCTGGAGGCCACACAGTTCACCTCCACCCAGACAGGCTTGTTCACGTCCACGGAACAGTGCTCTGGGCTTGCCCGTGGCTCAGGTCATGGCCAGGCACAGGAAAGCCTAGAGGGTCTTCCTGGGTTCCAGCTGTACACGTGACGCTGGACACAGATTTTGAGAAAATACTCTCAACAATTCCACAAAGCTTTATTTGATTACAACTAATTTAGCTTTGTGACTAGACGTTTTATTCCCAAGAAACTGTACCATTCTATGGTACCTTCTATAAAATATTAAGGTTCCTTAGAAACATGTCCCCAAATCAACAAGGAATGCCACTTGGAAAAGGGAAAGGCAGCACTGCAGACAGACATGCTCCCGGTCTGAGGCCGGACCGGCTGACGCTCTAATTCCGTGCCACAAACTGCAACGTGCCCAGCATCTGCCAGGAACTGGACCTTCGTGAGAAGCACCAGCGCTCCCAGGACTGGCACTTGCAAGCTGCGATGTGATTTTCCATCATTAATCAGAACATGACCAACAGCGCGCCCCACAGCGCTGCAGCTCAGCCTCTTTCAGTACCTCCCCACTCTCTCAAAGCCTCTTTCCGGGTCCGATTTCTTGACGTTGTGAAGGATGCCTGCTTTTTCTCGAGGTGGAGTCTTCCAGCGTTTGCGAAAATCTTCCGCCTATGGGGAAAACAAAATGCACTGAGCTACGACAGGCACCGTGCCCCTCACTGGGGAAGCCTGAAGGGCATCAGCGTGGCAGAAGCGGCTGCCCATGTCCCGACACCCTTCCTCCTCTCCCTTCACCAACTGGGCTGCATGCCCACCTGTGGCATGGCTGAGAGCGGCTACGTGACTGTACTCCGACCTGGGTGAGGGGAGGCGGTCTTCCTTCCTGCAGCCTGGTCCAGGCTGTGAGGTTCAGAACCAGGGGGACCCGTCGACAGCTTAGAGCTGCCACCCGACGGCAGAGGTGACACTGTACCCATCGCAGGAGAAGAAACCAACGTTGATCTTTCTGAGTTACGCTTCCTCGAATTTTATGTTTTATGGATCTGACCTAACCCTACTTGATACCACCTAATTTTGAAGACATTTTCATCAAAATAACTTATTTAGAGTTTTTAGCACAACATTATATGTATAGGTCAGTATATGAAATATTTTAACAGGAGAAAGAATTATCAACTGTAAACAAAAAAATATGTACAACCTTTGACCCTGTAACACCACCATTAAGAATTTCTTGCCGGGCGCGGTGGCTCAAGCCTGTAATCCCAGCACTTTGGGAGGCCGAGGCGGGTGGATCACGAGGTCGAGAGATCGAGACCATCCTGGTCAACATGGTGAAACCCCGTCTCTACTAAAAATACAAAAAATTAGCTGGGCATGGTGGCGTGTGCCTGTAATCCCAGCTACTCAGGAGGCTGAGGCAGGAGAATTGCCTGAACCCAGGAGGCGGAGGTTGCGGTGAGCCGAGATCGCGCCATTGCACTCCAGCCTGGGTAACGAGCGAAACTCCGTCTCAAAAAAATAAAAAAGAATTTCTTGCCGGGCGCGGTGGCTCAAGCCTGTAATCCCAGCACTTTGGGAGGCCAAGGCGGGTGGATCACGAGGTCGAGAGATCGAGACCATCCTGGTCAACATGGTGAAACCCCGTCTCCACTAAAAAATCCAAAAAAAATTAGCTGGGCATGGTGGTGCGTGCCTGTCATCCCAGCTACTCAGGAGGCTGAGGCAGGAGAATTGCCTGAACCCAGGAGGCGGAGGTTGCGGTGAACCGAGATCGCGCCATTGCACTCTGGCCTGGGTAACAAGAGCAAAACTCCATCTCAAAAAAAAAAAAAAAAAAGAATTTCTTTGAACATCAGGGATAAGTGGAACCCAAGGGAGCTGAAGCCTCCAGGAGAGGGACTGAACTGAAGGACTCTGTCTGAGGAAGCCTGTGGGAACTCAGCTACGGAAACTCAGTTAGGAGGTGAACATGCACACGGAGGTTTCCTGGTCACAGTGGGCAGCCTCGCTAGACTGGCCAGGCACCATGAGAAGGGCCAGCCACACAGAAAGAACGGGCGGTGTGCGCCCAGGACAGGGCTCTGCTGAGATGTGTGGCCCCTGCACATCGGCCCTGGCCAGCAGACCACATAGACAAGAACACACGTTTCTCTGGAAACGTTCTCATCACAAGCTCACTGCTGGATGGTTTGAGATGAGGACAACCGTGGAGTTCCACAGGACACAGTCCCTGAGACCAAGCACAAAGCAACAGGCTGGAACACCCAGCACCACAGCGCAGAGACAGCCAGGCACCGCTTCCAGAAGCTTCCACAGCAGCTCACCTTGGCTGGACTCAGGGGCCCCGCGAAGGCTCTCAGGGTCAGCACAGGGTCTCGGGGGCTGCCTCCATAGCGGCCGACGTGAGAGGCCTCGGCCGTCTGGTCTGGGGACCACAGCTCCCCAATGACTGGAGAAGACGTGTCTTCTGCTCTCAGGAGCGGCACATAGTAGTGACCTACAGGAGGAGACGGGCACTGGCTGCGGGCCCCGCCCCACACCCCCCGGGTCGGGTCTGGGTGATCGGCACGGGGGTCACACAAGCCCCTGCCACGGCCTCTGCAGGTGGATGCAATGGAAACAGGAAGTCACACGAGGTCCGCAACAGGACAGGGCAGAGGCCGGCGTGTGCTCACTTCACCTGACCAGCCTCACCGTCCTCCACTGCTAGAAGAAAGAAGAAAAGAAAAGAAAAGGGAGCCCCAGGCAGTTAAAGGCCTGAGGAGTCAGACCTGAGGGGGTAAGGCTGGCACACAGCAGGAGCTTCACACGTTTTTAAAATAAGGTGTATTTCATTCTGGCCAAGTGTGGTGGCTCACACCTGTTAATTCCAACTCTTTGGGAGGCTGAGGTGGGTGAATCACTTGACGTCAGGAGTTCGAGACCAGCCTGGCCAGCACGGTGAAAGCCCATCTCTACTGAAAACAAAAATTAGCTGGGCGTGACGGTGTGTACCTGTAATCCCAGCTACGCAGGAGGCTGAGGTAGGACAATCACTTGAACCTGGGACGTGGTGGTTGCAGTGAGTCGAGATTGTGTCACTGCACTCTAGCCTGGGCAACAGAGTGAGACTCTGTCTCAAAAAAAAAAAAAACCAGTTGTATTTCATGCCATCTCTCCTTTTTTTCCCTCTTAGTTTCAGATATCTCTGTCACCCAGGCTGGAGTGCTGTGGGGCGACCATGGCTCGCTACAGCCTCAAACTCCCAGGCTCAAGCAATCCTCCCACCTCAGCCTCTTGAGCAGCTGGGACCACAGGCATGCGCCACCATACCCAGCTAACTTTACTTTTTTGTAGAGACAGGGTCTTGCTATGCTGCCCAGGCTGGTCTCCAGGATACAAGTGATCATCCCCCCTCTGCCTCCAGAAGTGCTGGGATCACAGGTGTGAGCTACTGTGCCCAGCCCCCTCTGCTTCTCGCCTCCCTGCTTCTGTCATGCTTTTCAGTTCGTATCACTGAATACACATCTCCCAACTGATCTGGAGTCACACAGCACTTGGATGTGAGGTATGGAATGCATGAGGAAAAGTAGCATCTTAAGGTCCCACGGACGGCGCAGCCCAGTCCCATGGGATAGTGTCCTGAGATTCCGTGGGATCGCATGGAGGTCACACGCCACCTCATCCTGCTTTCGGACCTAGCCCCAGGAGACCCACCGTCAAGAGGCTTCCTTTAAAGTCGTCACGCTGCTCAAGAACACCTGGGAATTTCTTATGTTAAATGCTTATCAGTTTTTATGCTTCTAATTTTTTTCTAATTATAAAAGTACTGTACAGCCATCAACAGTAGATTAGATACCATGGGATATTATGTAGCCATAAAAAAGAACAAGATCACGTCCTTGGCAGCAACGTGGACGGAGCTGGAGGCCATTATTCTAAAGGAACTGACACAGGAACAGAAAAACAAACAACACACGTTCTCACTTATGAGTAGGAACTAAATGCTGAGCACACATGGACACGAAGGAGGAGGAGCAGTCACCAGGGCCTGCCTGAGGGAGGAGGGAGGGGGAGGAGGAACAGTCACCAGGGCCTGCCTGTCTGAGGGAGGAGGGAGGGGGAGCAGTCACCAGGGCCTGCCTGCCTGAGGGAGGAGGGAGGAGGAGCAGTCACCAGGGCCTGCCTGCCTGAGGGAGGAGGAAGAGGAGCAGTCACCAGGGCCTGCCTGTCTGAGGGAGGAGGGAGGAGGAGCAGTCACCAGGGCCTGCCTGTCTGAGGGAGGAGGGAGGAGGAGCAGTCACCAGGGCCTGCCTGTCTGAGGGAGGAGGAGGAGGAGGAGCAGTCACCAGGGCCTGCCTGTCTGAGGGAGGAGGAGGAGGAGCAGTCACCAGGGCCTGCCCGTCTGAGGGAGGAGGGAGGAGGAGCAGTCACCAGGGCCTGCCTGTCTGAGGGAGGAGGAGGAAGAGCAGTCACCAGGGCCTGCCTGTCTGAGGGAGGAGGAGGAGGAGCAGTCACCAGGGCCTGCCTGTCTGAGGGAGGAGGAGGAAGAGCAGTCACCAGGGCCTGCCTGTCTGAGGGAGGAGGAAGAGGAGCAGTCACCAGGGCCTGCCTGAGGGAGGAGGAGGAGGAGCAGTCACCAGGGCCTGCCTGTCTGAGGGAGGAGGAGGAGGAGCAGTCACCAGGGCCTGCCTGAGGGAGGAGGAGGAGGAGCAGTCACCAGGGCCTGCCTGTCTGAGGGAGGAGGAGGAGGAGCAGTCACCAGGGCCTGCCTGAGGGAGGAGGAGGAGGAGCAGTCACCAGGGCCTGCCTGTCTGAGGGAGGAGGAGGAGGAGCAGTCACCAGGGCCTGCCTGTCTGAGGGAGGAGGAGGAGGAGCAGTCACCAGGGCCTGCCTGTCTGAGGGAGGAGGAGGAGCAGTCACCAGGGCCTGCCCGTCTGAGGGAGGAGGAGGAGGATGGGGAGGATGGGAAAGCTGCGTGTTGGGCACTATGCTGTCACCTGAGAAACAGTGCCTACACCAAACCCCCATGCCATGCCGGTTACCCAATAAGGAACCTGTGCACCCCTGAACCTAAAAGGAAACTTTAAACAGAGAACTATAATTTCCGTTCAAGGGTACTAACTTTCCATACTGAAAATCAGGGCACTTCAAATACCGTATCTGACACTTCAACACCTTATACCTGGATGCATCGTATGTCCACTGGCTTTTTACAGGTAACTGGCAGGTTTTTTTCTTCTCTTAGTGGTACTTGAAAAGAAGACACACCATACACAGCAGACAGCAAGTACACAGTTCACTTCACCTATAATTTAACGACTCATAAAGAACTACTGTTTACTTTTTTGGCATATTGAAGTCCCTTTTAAAAATTTGTCTACAGGTCGGACTCATGGTCTCTGGACGGTTCTGTGGCTGGCTCTCTGGTCCTATTTATCCCCCCTCACCCTCACACAAGCATGGTTCCCTCTCTGAGGAACTGGAGGGACACAGAATGCAGCCAGCCCTGCAGCAGGCTCCGTGGCATGTGAAGCTACAATGTCACTGAGGCCACAGTATAACCACGGGCGCTGGCCCATGCCTAGGCTTTGCATGAGCCTCAGAAGGACCAGGAAGGAGGTGCAGGCGCTTTGGAGGGCCGTGTAGCTCAGCCCTCAGAAGCACGGATGTCACAGTGCTGCCTTCTCAGCAAACAGCTGCTGGGGCAGACCTAGAGGTGACAGTGTGCTACGGTCACAGACAGGCAAGGACTCCTCAGGCAACTGCTTCCTCAATACCGTCACAAAGCAGTGTTTAACACATCAACGCCGTAAAGCATTCCTGACAGTATGGTCTGCAAACACAGAGCAGACTCTCGGTTCTTTAGGGTATTGTGGCAACAGAGCCGTGTGTTCTGAGGGCTTCCAACAGTTCCAGCTGGGCCCATGGAGCAACGCCCCAATGGCCCTGAGGAGGAACTCTCACCGTTACCAGCAAGATTCAATTCCCTGCATGAAATGCAGGACTCATTTCCCGTGCACATCCACACAAGCTGAAGACGTATAATTAACAAATCGTACTTAGGATTGCAAGGGATCAGGGGACACACAGAGGCTCCTGATACCTTCGACCGGGTGGTAAACTTCTACACAAAGTCAGACAGTAAATAATCAGGCTCAAGGGGCCACGAGTCACTGTGTGCTGGCAAAGAGCCCACACAGTGTGCAAAATGGTGGTCACGGCTTCATGCCAATGTTTATAAAATTGGTGGTGGGCCAGTCATCTGCAGACCCTGCGTTAAACGAGACAGAATTTTGGACAGGAATGGAACCCAAGAGAGAGAAAAGCAGGCAGGAGAGTGACAGGACGTCTGTGCCTGCTGCAGAAGCACCAGACTTGGAGCTAAGACAGCAAAGAAGAGGCGCTTCCGGCCGGGCGCAGCGGCTCATGCCTGTAATCCCAGCACTTTGGGAGGCTGAGGCGGGCAGATCACGAGGTCAAAAGATGGAGGCCATCCTGGCCAACATGGTGAAACCCTCTCTCTACAAAAAATACAAAATTTAGCTGGGCATGGTGGCACATACCTGTGGTCCCAGCTACTCAGGAGGCTGAGGCAGAAAAATCACTTGAACCCAGGAGGCGGAGGTTGCAGTGAGCCGAGATTGCGCCATTGCACTCCAGCCAGGCAACAGAGCAAGACTCCATCTCAAAAAAAAAAAAAAAAAAAAAAAAAAAAAAAAAAAAGGGCCGGGTGCGGTGGCTCAAGCCTGTAATCCCAGCACTTTGGGAGGCCGAGGCGGGTGGATCACGAGGTCGAGAGATCGAGACCAACCTGGTCAACATGGTGAAACCCCGTCTCTACTAAAAATACAAAACATTAGCTGGGCATGGTGGCACGTGCCTGTAATCCCAGCTACTCAGGAGGCTGAGGCAGGAGAATTGCCTGAACCCAGGAGGCGGAGGTTGCGGTGAGCCGAGATCGCGCCATTGCACTCCAGCCTGGGTAACAAGAGCGAAACTCCGTCTCAAAAAAAAAAAAAAAGAAAAAAAAAAAAAAAAAAAGAGGCGTTCTAGACATGTCATCTTCCAAAATTCGTCGAAAACAGAGGAAGATGGCAGGGAAAAGCCTCCCTGAAACCAGCCATTTTCACATGCCTGGCACCTACAAACCACAACATGGTGGCCGACAGGAAGCTCCTGACCAGAGGAGGGCGGCCCAGAAAGCAAAGGACTCCTTCCCAGAGGCGAGCGGGTAGGGTGTGTGCGGTGCCAAGGCAGGAGCCGTCCTGGGAGTGCGCCGAGGAGGGACGGGAGGAGGGAGGAGGCGGTGTCAGAACAGAGAGACTGGCAGGGAGCAAGGCCACCCAACACACACAGACACACAGAAGCCAAGCCAGCCAGCCGACTGAGGAGCTACGTGCCCTGCCTCTCCCTGAGCTGCTCTTTGCCAACTGCAGCCTCCAGCTGAAGTCAGTCATCACAGTGAAGCTGCCACGAGAGAGCCCTAGACATCCAGGGGTGAGGCCGTGGGCCACAGTCAGCAACACACAACCTCAGAGAAAGTTCTCTTGCAAAAGCTCAAGGGACAGATACAAGACTTCAGAGAAGGGATAACAGGAAAAGAGGTGGAAAGTGAGCTGGGAGAGCTCAGAAGAAAGGGTGATCCGAGAAGAGGCTTCCGAGCAAAGCCGGCATACACCCGGGAGCTCGGGAAGAAAGCTGTGCTCCGTTCCCGCAACGCTCCAAGGCCCTTCCCAGCGTGGACCCCAAACTCCAGGCACTGACTCCCCATCTTACCCTTCAAATACTCTCTGATCCGCTCCTTCAGTTCCACAGACTTGTTTTTGCTTCTTTCACAAATTACCTATTGAAAAAAAAAGGGTGTCTAAATCTTATCTTATCATAACATTTCCTTATCAGTATAATGATTTTAGAAAGTGACTTAAAGTCAGTGAAGTGGAATAGTATCTTTTTTTTTTTTTTTTTGAGACGGAGTTTCGCTCTTGTTACCCAGGCTGGAGTGCAATGGCGCGGTCTCGGCTCACCGCAACCTCCGCCTCCTGGGTTCAGGCAATTCTCCTGCCTCAGCCTCCTGAGTAGCTGGGATTACAGGCACGTGCCACCATGCCCAGCTAATGTTTTGTATTTTTAGTAGAGACGGGGTTTCACCATGTTGACCAGGATAGTCTCGATCTCTCGACCTCATGATCCACCCGCCTCGGCCTCCCAAAGTGCTGGGATTACAGGCTTGAGCCACCGCGCCCGGCCGGAATAGTATCTTAATCTAAAGATTCAATAAAGCTCACACTCAAACAACGTGTGAAGAGTATGGCCCGTTTCTGAAGTCTCAGGGGACAGGTCAGAGACCACACTCTGGGATTCGGTGTCTTTACCTCTTCTTCGTGCTCCCTACACTTTCTAACGTCTGCAAGGAGAGGAAACTTAAAAGCACACCATCAAGAAAAGCAGAAGCCTGTGAGCACATCTGCACTTTCTCAGTCGTCTGAGTTTCACTTCCAGGAAGCCTGGCCATACATACACTTTCCGTTGTGAGGCTGAGTCAGGCTGGAGCTCCTAACACGGAACACAAAAGTTCTATTTTTGCAACTACAGATGACAGAAATCAGCTTCCTCGGCCCTTGGAGAATTGCAGCAGTAAGATTTTTTGCTAGCAACGATACAAAAACCAACAACCTTCAAATAAGAGGAAAGAAAGGAACCAGCCTCTGCGAGAAACTAAGACTATCGATGCAATCACAGTTTTGAGTCTGTGACTAAGTGTGAGCTTGGAAAGTCCAATGCTTTTATTTAAAATGCCGGGAGTTTTAAGTTGGTTACCAAATAACATTTTTATGTTGAAGAAGTGCAGATACACACATATATACACACAAAATTGAATTACATACATGCAAAATAATGGCAATTTCTCAGTTGTAGAATTTTCTGGTGAATTTTATTCTTTCTGGTCATGAGGTATTTTAAATTTTCTATAGCGAGTGAGTATTGCTGATGCCTATGTAGTAACAGGAATTACAGAGGGGCGTGGGAGAGAACACCACCACCAGAAGATCCTTACAGCTTTTCTTCCTAAAGGGCTGGAAGACCGTGAGCAGCTCACAGCTGTGATACAGAACAAATCAAACTCGTCCTTCAGTTCTGAGAGGGTCCTGATCCCTCTTGCACCTTCCGGGCGTAAAACACACATCCGCCCTCTGTAAGGTGCACTTTGCTCAGTTCATAATGCCTGACGGACAAGGCTTGTCTGGGTCAGATGAGCATAAGTGTGTGAGCAGCTTGGCACAGCGCCTAGTACACACTGAGCTGAATACAATTTAGCTGCTTTCAGCGGCATCATCCTCACCATCACCACCATCACCACTACCATCATCCTTGCCACCATCACCACAATCACTGCTATCTTCATCATCCTCACCATCATCCGCACCATCACCATCCTCAGCATCACAACCACCACCATCGCCATTATCCTCACCACCATCATCCCCATCAGAACCACCCTCACCATCACCATCACCACCATTATCACCATCACAATCACCATCAGCACCATCATCACCATCACAATCACTATCAGCACCACCATTACCACCTCTGTTCTCTCTGACTCTGGCCAACTGATGTGTTCAGAGAGGGAACTTGGTAAAAGACTGTGAGCTGTTCAGAGCAACTGACTGCCAGTTTTAGGAAAGTAAAATAAAATAAATTCACCAAACTGTGTGAGTTCCTCCCCTCCTGGTTCTACAGATGCATCTTCACAAAATGCATCTTACTCAACAGCAGGACTCTAACGCGTGCCGTGAGGCAAACACAACTCATACAGAGCTCCATGTGGCTTCACTGTGCCTGTCTGTGACCACAGACTGTAAAGCTACATGTTTTCATCTCTTAACTCTAGAGAGTGACTGCATTTTAACAAGTACTTACATCTTCAGGTGTTTTATCATATTTATTCCTTGGGTTTTTTACAGTCAAATGATGTGACGAAAGCACATTGACTACGTCTGCATTTCCAAACTTACACGCAAAATGCAACGGTGTGTCATAGCCCTGAAAAAAGCAGAGGAAACACAATTATTTACACTTGTCTCATAAGTGGCTCTAAGGTGAAAATACTTACACATTTTTTTAAAAAAGACTCACAAACAAAATGGCCATAAAAGACACTGCTTTTATAATGAAAAAATACTTGGCATTCTAACACATTCCCACTTCATGCAAGGCTTGAGCTCAGCAGCGGACCTGGGTGTCCAGGCCCTGGAGGAGCTTACACTCTCCACCAACAGTGAACAGGAGCTTTAATCTTTCAGGGCCCAGTACAATATCACATAACACATGCCCAAAAAGTAAAATAAACCCCATGGTGAAAAAAAGGCTTCCGGGGGTAGGAGGGGTCAAGAGAAGGAAAAGCCTGTCTTTAGCACCCTTTAAAAGAGGGCGTCCCCTGGCCGGGTGCGGTGGCTCAAGCCTGTAATCCCAGCACTTTGGGAGGCCGAGGCGGGTGGATCACGAGGTCAAGAGATCGAGACCATCCTGGTCAACGTGGTGAAACCCCGTCTCTACTAAAAAAAATACAAAAAATTGGCTGGGCATGGTGGCGCGTGCCTGTAATCCCGGCTACTCAGGAGGCTGAGGAGGAGAATTGTCTGAACCCAGGAGCCGGAGGTTGCGGTGAGCCGAGATCGCGCCATTGCACTCCAGCCTGGGTAACAAGAGCGAAACTCCGTCTCAAAAAAAAAAAAAAAAAAAAAAAAAAAAGAGGGCGTCCCCCTTCACAGCACTGCCTCTGCGTGGGCCTGGCCCGGCTGGCTGGCACTCATCAGTGACTCCAACCTGCCTGTTTGCTGCACTTGGGATGAAACAACGCCACAGGTCAGGTGGAGGGTGGGGCATGAGCATCAGCCAGGATTGCTGTCACCTTTTCTCAGGAGCTACGAAGATCCTTCCTGTTTGTAAGCAGTCACACCCCAGCAGCCTGTATCCTACACCAGGGCCCCGAGTGTCAGGGTGTCAGGTGGTGAGGTCTGCAGGGACAGCTCTGTGCCTTAGGGGCTCTTGGTAGGATGCTGAGGGCTTGCCTGCCGTGTGCATGGCTCTGCCACTCCCAGGGCGGGAAGAGCTGCTCAGCTCAAGGTTTTCTGCTCAGGAGAGTGTGTGTCCTCTGACAACCGTGTCCCCAGACAGTTTAGACACCCTTGGAGATGGCACTCCACACACAACAAAGACACAGGGGCCAGGGAACCCCAGCACCTGGTATCCTTTGTCCAGGGTTAAAATCAGCCTGTGGAGGCCGGGCGCGGTGGCTCAAGCCTGTAATCCCAGGACTTTGGGAGGCTGAGGCGGGTGGATCATGAGGTCAAGAGATCGAGACCACCCTGGTCAACATGGTGAAACCCTGTCTCTACTAAAAATACAAAAAATTAGCTGGGCATGGTGGCGCGTGCCTGTAATCCCAGCTACTCAGGATGCTGAGGCAGGAGAATTGCCTGAACCCAGGAGGCGGAGGTTGCGGTGAGCCGAGATCGCGCCATTGCACGCCAGCCTGGGTAACAAGGGTGAAACTCCGTCTCAAAAAAAGCAGCCTGTGGGATTTGGTGAGAAGGCAGGTTGCAGGGGTGTAACTGATGTATCTTTTCCTTAAAGTTATTCTAACGAGTCACTTGTCGATAAAGCATTCTTTTAAGAAAAGAACTTTAAAAAGCTAAAACATAAAAGCGCGAGTGGAGGGTGGGCACGCACCATCTTGTCGGGGGTGTTGAGGTAGAGATCGACGACGTAGCGGATGCGCTTTTGCAGCATGGCCTCGTCGTCATCGGGGTACATCAGCCGCATGAAGTCGGGGTTCTCCAGGACATCCAGGGTCAGCTGGCAGATGGAAGCCTGGTCCTCCTTGGCGGCCACATGCATCACGTTGTACCTGCACCCCTCCTGAAAGGGAACCGTGCGCTCTGAGCTTCCTCCCTGTCTCACGCGGATGCACCCCGTGCAAAGTGCCACGGGCACGAAGGAGCCAGTGACGCTGCACACCCACCTGCACGATGGTTGGGTTGTCCCCTGAGCCAATCAGGTACCGGGGGTTGCTCCAGATGAGATCAGAAAAGGTGTCCTCCTCTCCCTTCTCCACAGCTTTCCGAAGCTTGGCGGTGAGGTCCTGTGTGCGGGGATTTTTGTAGCTGTTGGCTCGCTCTTTGTTGACTGTTTCCGATTCAGACAAGCACAAACCATCTGTCAGTAAGAGACAGAATTTAAGGATGATTAGTTTCACCAAAAGTCACTCATCATCCACACACCCTGTAATAAGGAATAAAGAGCTTTCAGGGCTAGCTCATGCCTGTAAACCCAGCACTTTGGGAGGTTGAGGCGGGCGGATCACGAGGTCAAGAGTTCAAGACCAGCCTGGCCAACATGCTGAAACTCCATCTCTACTAAAAATACAAAAATTAGCAGGGCGTGGTGTCAAGTGCCTTAATTCCAGCTACTGGGGAGGCTGAGGCAGGAGAACTATCTGAACTCGGGAGGCAGAGGCTGCAGTAAGCTGAGATGGTGCCACTGTACTCCAGTATGGTGACAGAGCAAGACTCTGTCTCCAAAAAATAAAATAAAAGAGGGGAGGCACAGGTGAGAAATGATGAGATGGGCTCGTGGCCACTGACCCAAGCCCGCAGAGGCAGTCAGCGCACCCCTGTGAGCAGAGCAAGCTGGGAGAGCACCCAGACCCGGCTGCAATCTTGCTGGGAAAGGCTGTGTGAATGAGGCAAAGTTTGGTGAACTTTTTTTCTTCAGAGACAGGGTCTGGCTCTGTCTCCAAGGCTGGAGTGTGGTGGCACGATCATAGCTCACTGCAGCCTCGACCCTCCTGGGATCAACTGATCTTCCCACCTCAGCCTCCCAAGTAGCTGGGACTACAGCTGTGTGCCACCACGCCTGGTTATATATGTGTATGTGTATGCATGTATTTTTAGAGATGGGGTCTCACTATGTTGCCCAGACTGGTCTCAAACTCCTGGCTTCAAGAGATCCTTCTGCCTCAGTTCCCAAAAGTGTTAGAATTACAGGAATGAGTCACCACACCCGGCCAGTGAACTCCGAAAGCTCGGTCAGCAGGTAGAGAAGGAATCACGGCAGCTGCGGTGAAGGGAGCATCACCAGCAATCACACAAGACCTCCAATGCGCGCAGCGTTTCTGCAAAGGTCGAGTGCTCCGTAAGTGATTTCTGGTTTTTTTTGAGATGGAGTCTTGCTCTGTCACCCAGGCTGGAGTGCAATGGCACAATCTCAGCTCACCGGAACCTCTGCCTCCCAGGTTCAAGCAATTCTCCTGCCTCAGCTTCCTGAGTACCTGGGATTACAGATGCACACCACCATGCCTAGCTAATTTTTTTTTTTTTTTTTTTGAGACGGAGTTTCGCTCTTGTTACCCAGGCTGGAGTGCAATGGCACGATCTCGGCTCACCGCAACCTCCGCCTCCTGGGCTCAGGCAATTCTCCTGCCTCAGCCTCCTGAGTAGCTGGGATTACAGGCACGTACCACCATGCCCAGCTAATTTTTTGCACTTTTTTTTTAGTAGAGACGGGGTTTCACCATGTTGACCAGGATGGTCTCGATCTCTCGACCTCGTGATCCACCCACCTCAGCCTCCCAAAGTGCTGGGATTACAGGCTTGAGCCACTGCGCCCGGCGCTTTTTTTTTTTTTTGAGACAGAGTTTTCTCTTTCACCCAAGCTGGAAGTGCAGTGGCGCTATCTTGGCTCACTGCACTTCTGCCTTCTGGTTTCAACCGATTCTCTTGCCTCAGCCTCCCAAGTAGCTGGGATTACAAGTGCCCGCTACCACACCCGGCTAATTTTTGTATTTTTAGTAGAGATGGGATTTCACCATGTTAGCCAGGCTGGTCTCGAACTCCTGACCTCGTGATCTGCGTGCCTTGGCCTCCCAAAGTGCTGAGACTACAGGTGTGTGAGCCACCAGGCCTGGCCTGATTTATGTCTGAAAGTGATTTCCTTCTGAGGAAGCTTCCCCACCTGAAGCTATACCTCTTTCCAGGACTGGGGCATCTGCATAATCACGCTCATCTGTAGGAGCGTCCAGCCGAAGTCTGACCCATACCCACCTCCCAGCTCAGAACGAGGGTTTTGTTTGAAGACGTTCAGCTGGGGAGCTGAGGCCAGACAAAAGGGAAAGCCAGTGATCTGTAACACGCTAACTGTGAAGAGCGCCTACAAACAAAACCCTCATTCTCAGCTGGGAGGTGGCTCTGGGTCAGACTTCTGGCTGGACGGTCCTACAGGTGAGCCTGATTGTGCAATGTCCCAGTCCTAGACGTAGGTATAGCTTCAGTGGGGAAGTAGACTGATCTCAGTATCAAAAAAGACCCCAGGCCAGGCACAGGGGCTCAGGCCTGTCATCTCAGCACACTGGGAGGCTGAGACAGGAGGATTGCTTGATGCCAGGAATTCAACCAGCCTGGGTAACATGGCAAAACCCTGTCTCCATAAAGCATTTTTAAATTCCATGGCCGGGCATGGCGGCTCACGCCTGTAATCCCAGCACTTTGGAAGGCTGAGGTGGGTGGATCACAAGATCAGGAGTTCAAGAACAGCCTAACACAGCGAAACCCCATCTCTACTAAAAATACAAAAAATTAGCTGAACATGGTGGCGTGCACCTGTAGCCCCAACTACTGAAGAGGCTGAGGCACCTGGGAGGTAGAGGTTGCAGGCAGCAGTGAGCTGAAATCGTGCCACTGCACTCCACCCTGGGCAACAGAGAGAGACTCCAACTTTAAAAAAAAAAAAAAAAAAAAAAAAGAAAAGGATTTCCAGCTCTCTGGAATTCCCTTCCACACTCTTCATGGAAATCAAAAAAAGAAAAAAAAATTTTTAATTCCAGCCTGATCAACAAGGTGAAACCCCTGTGTCTACTAAAAATATAAAAATTGGCTGGGCATAGTGGTGGGCACCTGTAATCCCAGCTACTCAGGAAGCTGAGGCAGGAGAATCACTTGAACCCGGGAGGCAGAGGCTGCAGTGAGTGAAGATCGTGCCACTGCACTCCAGCCTGGGCAACAGAGTGAGACTCCATCCGAAAAAAAAAAAAAATTAGCTGGGTGTGGTGGTGCACACCTATTCCTTAGTTAACTGGGAGGCTGAAGCACGGGGACTGCTTAACCCCAGGAGCTCAAGGCTGCAGTGGGCGCACAAGAGTGCACTCCAGGCTGGCAAAAGAACAAGACCCTGTCTCTTTACAAAAAGACAGAAGAACAGAGAATCCAACAGGCCGGAGAGAGAGACACAGGCAGATGGAAGGGGCCACAGCGCTCTTTTCAGCACTTCTCCACAGTCGAGATGCTAAACACTGGCACATCAGCATCAGAGCGAGAGTGGCTTCCTGGTCTGCTCAGACCCCGATGACTCTACCCTCCTGGCGAAAAGAGGTTACCACAGAGGAGGAAAGAAGGCGGGACACAGTGCGGGGTAAAAGACGGGAGCGGCTGCATCATTTACCTTTCGACCCATCACTGCTAAAGAGCGGCGCCACTTTCACAGGAGAAAGTGGTAACGATGTTCTGCTTGGCGAAGGGAAATAATCACAAATTCCTCTAGCAAATTTCTCAGCATCTTCTCTGGTTGAAAAAGCTTTAAAGCGGGACCCTTTGATCATTTTGACGGCTTGCAGCGCTTCCTTTTTATTTACGTAAACATGGACCCTTTCTGGGTGGGAAAGCAACAAACGAACATCAGAAATGAGGGACTGTAGCAGGTCACGCCCTGCCTTCCATCATCAGCTCACATGTCTGCTACCCAGTCACCAGGCTTAGTTCAGATCTTTATTCCTGAAGAAAAAAGGCCTTAGCTAGCCAAAATAACAGAATAAACAAGCTGGATCACGCATGTAGATGCATGTGAATAACATGATACATATTATAGACACGTATGTAATTATACATCCCAAGATTCTAGCGTAAAAAATAAATTTCATATAAAGATCTAATTGAAGGCTGGGCGCGGTGGCTCACGCCTGTAATCCCAGCACTTTGGGAGGCCGAGGCGGGTAGATCACAAGGTCAAGAGATCGAGACCATCCTGGTCAACATGGTGAAACCCCGTCTCTACTAAAAATACAAAAAATTCGCTAGGCATGGTGGTACGTGCCTGTAATCCCAGCTACTCAGGAGGCTGAGGCAGGAGAATTGCCTGAACCCAGGAGGCGGAGGTTGTGGTGAGCCGAGATCGCGCCATTGCACTCCAGCCTGGGTAATAAGAGTGAAACTCTGTCTCAAAAAAAAAAAAAAAATCTAATTAAAAATAATTGAGGCCGGGGACTGTGGCTCACAATTGTAATCCCAACACTTTGGGAGGCTGGGGTGGGAGGATCACCCGAGGTCAGGAGTTCAAGACCAATCTGGCCAACACGGTGAAACCCCGGCTCTACTACAAATACAAAAATTAGCTGGACATAGTGGCGCATGGCTGTAATCCCAACTACTTGGGAAGCTGAGGAAGGAGAATCACCTGAACCTGGGAGGCAGAGGTTGCAGTAAGCCAAGATCACGCCACTGCACTACAGCCTGGGCAGTATGAGCAAAACTTCATTTCAAAAATGTGAATAAATAGCCGGGCGCGGTGGCTCAAGCCTGTAATCCCAGCACTTTGGGAGGCCGAGGCGGGTGGATCACGAGGTCGAGAGATCGAGACCATCCTGGTCAACATGGTGAAACCCCGTCTCTACTAAAAATACAAAAAATTAGCTGGGCATGGTGGCACGTGCCTGTAATCCCAGCTACTCAGGAGGCTGAGGCAGGAGAATTGCCTGAACCCAGGAGGCGGAGGTTGTGGTGAGCCGAGATCGTGCCATTGCACTCCAGCCTGGGTAACAAGAGCAAAACTCCATCTCAAAAAAAAAAAAAAAAAAAAAAGTGAATAAATAATTGAAATGGTCTCGATCTCTTGACCTCGTGATCCACCCACCTCGGCCTCCCAAAGTGCTGGGATTACAGGCATGAGCCACCGTGCCCGGCAATTTTTTATATTTCTAATAGTGACGGGGTTTCACCATGTTGGCCAGGATGGTCTCGAACTCCTGACCTCATGATCCACTTGCCTCTGCCTCCCAAAGTGCCTGGATTACAGGGGTCTGAGCCACCGCTCCCGGCCAGCAAGACCAGTCTCAGAAAAAAAAAATAAAAATAAAAATTGGCCAGGCACAGTGGCTCACACCCATAACCCCAGCACTTTGGGTGGCCAAGGTGGGCAGATTATGAGGTCAAGAGAACAAGACCATTCTGGCCAACATGGTGAAACCCTGTCTCTACTAAAAATACAAAAATAAGCCAGGCGTGGTAGCAGGCGCCTGTAATCCCAGCCACTCGGGAGGCTGAGGCTTGAACCCGGTAAGCAGAGGTTGCAGTGAGTTGAGAATGTGCCATTTCACTCCAGCCTGGGGGACAAGAGCAATTGTCCCCCCAGAAATTTTAAATTAGCTAGGTGGCTCACGCCTGTAATCCAAGCATTTTGGGAGGCCACCGTGGGCAGATCACTTGAGCCCATGAGTTGGAGACTAGCCTGGGCAACATGGGGAAACCTCACCTCTACCAAAAACACACACAAAAATGGCCAGCATAGTGGCCAATGCCTGTGATCCCAGCTATCAGGAGGCTGAGGTGGGAGGATTACTTGAGTCTGGGAGGCAGACATTGCAGTGAGTTGTTAAGATCACACCACTGCATTCCAACCTGGGTGAGAGTGAAACCCCGGTCTCAAAAAAAATAAATAAATAACCCAATTAGCTAGGCGTGGTGGTGTGTGCCTATAATCCTTAGCAGTTTGGGAGGCCAAGATGGGTGGATTGCTCGAGGTCAGGAGTTCGAGAGCAGCCTGGGTAACATGGCAAAACCCTATCTCTACAAAAAAGACAAAAATTAGCTGGGTGTAGTGGCTGCATGCCTGTGGTCCCAGCTACTAAGGAGGCTGAGTTGGGAGGATCACCTGAGCCCAGAGATGTAGAGGCTGCAGTGAGCCATGACTGCACCACTGCGTTGCAGCCTAGGTGACAAAGTGAGACCCTGTCTCAGATAAATGAATAAATAAAAACAATAAAACTACGATTCTTTGATGCTGAAAATTACTTAAACAATCACTGGCCATTTGCATTCATTAACATAAAAGGTGTCCAGGTTACAATGAATTTTAAAAAGGGAGAGGTAACAAAGTTCCCAGCCAACAGCAGCAGCCAGTACATATGAATATTTGTATCTCTAAGTCCAGCACATCTCATAGAATCCAATTTACCTAACACACTTTAAAAGTTCTCATGTAGAGCCACACGCGGTGGCTCAAGCCTGTAATCCCAGCACTTTGGGAGACTGAGGCGGGTGGATCAAGAGCTCAGGAGTTTGAGATCAGCCTGGCCAATATGGTAAAACCCCGTCTCTACTGAAATATAAAAATTCGTCAGGCGTGGTGGCACATGCCTGTAGTCCCAGCTACTCGGGAGGCTGAGGCAGAAGAACTACTTGAGCTGAGATCATGCCTCTCTGTACTCCAGCCTGGACAACAAAGCGAGAGACTCCGTCTCAAAAAAAAAATAAAAAAATAAAAAATAGGCCGGGCGCGGTGGCTCAAGTCTGTAATCCCAGCACTTTGGGAGGCCGAGGCGGGTGGATCACGAGGTCGAGAGATCGAGACCATCCTGGTCAACATGGTGAAACCCCATCTCTACTAAAAATACTAAAAATTAGCTGGGCGTGATGGCACATGCCTGTAATCCCAGCTACTCAGGAGCCTGAGGCAGGAGAATTGCCTGAACCCAGGAGGCGGAGGTTGCAGTGAGCCGAGATCGCGCCATTGCACTCCAGCCTGGGTAACAAGAGCGAAACTCCGTCTCATTAAAAAAAAAAGAAAAAAGAAAAAAGAAAAAAGAAAAAAATAATAAAAAAATAAAAAATAAAAAGTGGCGGAACACGGTAGCTCAAGCCTGTAATCCCAGCACTTTGGGAGGCCAAGGTGGGTGGATCATGAGGTCAAGAGACTGAGACCATCCTGACTAACATGGTAAAACCCCATCTCTACTAAAAATACAAAAATTAGCTGGGTGTGGTGGCGTGCACCTGCAGTCCCAGTTACTCAGGAGGCTGAGGCAGAATTGCCTGAACCCGGGAGGCCGAGGTTGCAGTGAGCCGAGATTGTGCCACTGCACTCCAGCCTGGCGCCTGGTGACAGAGTGAGACTCTGTCTCAAAAAAAAAAAAAAAAAAAAAAAGTTCTCACATGGATTCACAAATATTTCAGAAAAGTTCTTTATAAAAATGTTAATAGTGGTTGACTGGATGAAGAGATTATGGTGATTAGATTTTCTTTTTAATCTGTATTTTTCCATTCTGAAAACTCATTCTGCCCCTCCCCGTGTGTGCTATCTGTGTAAGGAAATAGTAGACAACGGTCCCATTACCATTTCTTGCTGGGACGTCCTCATACACTGGACACACCCCATAGTACAGAGGAGGCTCCGCAGACTCAGTCGCTCCAGCCCCGGGGGTCCCGGCCCCCGCCCCAGTGCTGGGGGACAACTCAGTCTTGGACGTCACAGATCCCTCCTCTGGGGGATTCAGGCCCACACTGTAACCAAAATCTCTGTCTCCAGAAAAACCAGCCTGATCAGCTGGGTTCCCTTCAGCTGACTCAAAAATCCTTGGTGTGTCTTGGCTGAGAGCTATGGCAGCTGCCTCATGGTGGTCAAAAGAAGGCAGCCTTCCTCCTTGCTCCAGTAAAGCCTGAGCCAACTTTTTCTCAAAAATAAACCTTGTAGTTGATGTAATGGGTCCACATTTCAATCCAGCTTTGATGATTTCCTCTCTAAGGTCATCTGGATTCAGAAGTTTCAATCGAGCCAAGATGGTATCCATTGTCATTTCACCTAGGGCCAAGACAAAAAAAGTCACAAAATACTAGCACGTGCTAAAGCTGGGGATGGGTACTAGGGTTCATTATTATTGTATCAATTTCTGTGTATTCCATCAAAAAGTTTTCAGCCAGGTGCGGTGACTCAAGCCTGTAATCCTAGCACTTTGGGAGGCCAAGGTGGGCAGATCACAAGGTCAGGAGATAGAGACGATCCTGGCTAACACGGTGAAACCCCATCTCTACTAAAAATACAAAAAGTTAGCTGGGTGTGGTGGCACGTGGCTGTAGTCCCAGCTACTTGGGAGGCTGAGGCAGGAGAATCACTTGAACCTGGGAAGCAGAGGTTGAGGTGAGCTGAGATCGCACCACTGCATTCCAGCTTGGGCAACAAGAGCAAAACTCCATCTCTTAAGAAAAAAAAACAACATTCTTTCTTTTATTTTTTAAGACGGAGTCTCACTCTGCCACTCTGTGTAGTTGTGGAATCTCGGCCCACTGTAACCTCCGCCTCTTGGGTTCAAGCATTTCTCCTGCCTCGGCCTCCCGAATAGCTGGGATTATAGGAACCCACCATAATGACTGGCTAATTTTTGTATTTTTAGTAGAGAGAGGGTTTCACCATGTTGGCCAGGCTGGTCTTGAACTCCTGGCTTCAGGTGATCCACCCACCTCAGCCTCCCAAAGTGCTAGGATTACAGGCATGAGCCACCAAGCCCGGCCTAATGTCACCTTTTTAATGTGAGCTAACTGGAGGGAGGTTTTGTCCCTGCAACCAAGCAAGCCCTAAATAGAAAAAGTACATTATATGGCATCACTAACTGTGCAGCCTTAGCCAAGTTACTTAAAACTTTAGACCTCGGTTTCCTCATCTATAAAATGGACATACTTGCCAGGCACTCGCGCCTGTAATCCCAACGCTATGGGAAGGCAAGGAGGGTGAATCACCTGAGGTCAGATGTTTGAGACCAGCCTGGCAAACACGGCGAAAACCCATCTCTACTAAACATACAAAAAATTAGTCTGGTGTGGTGGCAGGTGCTTGTAATCCCAGCTACTCGGGAGGCTGAGGCGGAGAATCACTTGAACCCGGGAGGCGGAGGCTACAGTGAGCCGAGATCACACCACTGCACTCCAGCCTCGGTGACAGAGTGAGACTCCAGCTCAAAAAAATAAAATAAATAAAATGGACATACTAATAGCTCTCCTCCTTAGGGCATAGTGAAAACTGCATAAAATAATGCAGGAGGTCTTTGACACTATGCCTGGCACTGACGAATGACCATAAATGTCAGCAGCTGCTACTGTGCTGTCAAGGGATACAAACTTACTAATCCTTCAGAGTAAGCACATAATGTGTTAGAAAGTCGGCTTGAGGCCGGGCGCGGTGGCTCAAGCCTGTAATCCCAGCACTTTGGGAGGCCGAGGTGGGTGGATCACGAGGTCAAGAGATCGAGACCATCCTGGTCAACATGGTGAAACCCCGTCTCTACTAAAAACACAAAAAAATTAGCTGGGCATGGTGGCATGTGCCTGTAATCCCAGCTACTCAGGAGGCTGAGGCAGGAGAATTGCCTGAGCCCAGGGGGTGGAGGTTGCGGTGAGCCGAGATTGCGCCATTGCACTCCAGCCTGGATAACGAGAGCGAAACTGTGTCTCAAAAAAAAAAAAAAAAGAAAGTCGGCTTGAATAAAAACAACAATGTATGCTGTTACTAATACTCTTAATACAAAACGCAAACGTCTATTCATGTGTGCACAAAGAGAGGAGAGAGTGGAAACTGGGTGGAGACCAGATGCCCAGAACGGAATAAAACAAACGGAGCAGAAGAGATGGGGCGGGCGCGGTGGCACAAGCCTGTCATTCCAGCACTGTGGGAGGCTGAGGGGGCAGATCACTTGAGTTCCGAAGTTTGAGACCAGCCTGGGTGGGCAACCCCGTCTCTACCAAAACAATTAGCCGAGCACAGTGGTGCGTACCTATGGTCCCAGCTACTCAGGGGGCTAAGCCAGGAGGATCACTTGAGCCTAGGAGATGGAGGCCACAGTGAGCCGAGACAGCACCCCTGCAGTTCATCCTGGGTGACAGAATCAGACTCTGTCTCAAAAAAAAAAAGAAGGGATCGGGGGAATAATGCTTCTGAATTTAAGTTTCTATAGGGTTCCGACTTTTTAAAATCATGTTTGTGATTTACGTACTCAAGAAATAAATAAAGCCAGGCGCAGTGGCTGAATTTGGGAGGTCGAGGCTGGTGGATCACTCGAGGTAAGAAGTTTGAAACCAGCCTGGCCAATGTGGTAAAATCCCGTGGTAAGCCTCTACTAAAAATACAAACATTAGCCGGACATGGTAGCACGCGAATCACCGTCCAGGCTGTCCGTTAATGTTATTTCGTGGTTTGCACATTTGCAGTGTGATTAGGTAAGACACTAACATTTGGGGAATGTAGGCCCTGATACACAGGATTTCTTTTTCTTTTCTTTTTTCTTTTTTGAGACTAAGTCTCTCTCTGTCACCCACGCTGGAGTACAGTGGTGTGATCTCGACTGCAACCTCCCTCTTTCAGGTTCAAGTGATTCTCCTGCCTCAGCCTCCTGCATAGCTGGGACTATAGGCACTCGCCACCACACCCGGCTAATTTTTTCTATTTTAGTAGAAACAGGTTTCACTGTGTTGCCCAGGCTGGTCTCAAACCCCTGAGCTCAGGCAATCCACCTGCCTCGGTCTCCCAAAAGTTTAGGATTACAGGTGTCCGCCACCCTGCCTGGCCCACGGGATTTAAATTCTCACTTTGCAATAATTACAGACCTAAGTCTGTAACATCTAAATGTTGCAAAAATTGAACAGAGAGATCCTGTGGGCCCACCACCCAGCTTCCCCCAATGGTTGACATCTTATATAACTAAAACGTTACCAAAACCAAGACACTGGCACTAACACAACACAGCATCCCCGGACCTCGCCAGTCCCCGAAGGGCTCTGTGTTGGTGTCTTTGTGCATAATTCTATGGCAGTTATCACATGTAGAGACGTGTGTTAATCACTGTAAAAATCAAACACAAAACGGTCCCACTGCCACGAAGACCTCCCTCTGCTGCTCTAGAGACAAGTCCCACCTCCCCCATGACCCCCTGGGAACTACGAATTTGTTCTATCCCACAACTGTGTCATTTTAAGAATGTTACAGGCCGGGCGCGGTGGCTCACGCCTGTAATCCCAGCACTTTGGGAGGCCGAGGCGGGTGGATCACGAGGTCAAGAGATCGAGACCATCCGGGTCAACATGGTGAAACCCCGTCTCTACTAAAAATACAAAAAATAGCTGGGCATGGTGGCACGTGCCTGTAATCCCAGCTACTCAGGAGGCTGAGGCAGGAGAATTGCCTGAACCCAGGAGGCGGAGGTTGTGGTGAGCCGAGATCGCGCCATTGCACTCCAGCCTGTGTAACAGGAGCGAAACTCTGTCTCAAAAAAAAAAAAAAAAAAAAAGAATGTTATAGAATTGGAATCCTACAGTACACAGCTTTGAGATTGGCTTTTCCCATTCAGCATCATGCCCTTTAGACCCACCACATGGCTGAGTGGATGCTGAGGAGTGGCACTCTGTGGCATCAACATGTACATTTAAGCATTCACCCCTAGAGGGACATTTGGGTTATTTTACTTTCTGGCAATTACAAATAGAGTGGCTGTGAGCATCAAACATGGGTTTTTGTGTGGAAACAGTTTTAATGAGTCTAAAAGCTCAGGAACGCAGAGCAGGCCTAACTTCCCAGAAACCCGCCAGGCTGACTTCCAGAGTAGCTGCACCACTCACCACTCCCGCCCGCAACGCACGAGACCCAGTTTCTCTGCATCTCTGGGGGACTCGTGGAAGCATCCGTGCTTTCTATTTCAGCAGCTCTCAGAACACCAGCCTCACCCCCAGCCAGCTGGTCCAGAGCTCTGCTTGGATGACACCACTGGTGACAGTAATAGGGCACTTAGTGGCGCTTCATACATACGAAGTGCTTCACTTGCCCAACTCCCAAAGTATCCTACTAACCAGGCACTATCAACATCCCTGTTCCTAATCCAGCAGGCCAAAAACACACACGTTAAGCCCACAGCAATAAGGGGTAAGGCCGGATGTGGTGGCTCACGCCTGTAATCCCAGCACTTTGGGAGGCCGAGGCAGGAGGATCGCCTGAGGTCAGGAGTTCGAGACCAGCCTGGCCAACACGGTGAAACCCCGTTTCTACTAAAATTACAAAAATCAGCCAGGAATGGTGGCAGGCACATTTAGTCCCAGCTACTCAGGAGCCTGAAGCAGGAGAATCACTTGAGCCCAGGAGATGGGGCTGTAGAGAGTCAAGATCGCACCACTGCACTCCAGCCTGGGCCACAGAGCGAGACTCCGTCTCAAAATAAATAAATAAACAAAAAATAAGTGGTAGGACCAGGACACAAACTCAACACCACCGTACAGGAACCCCCACTCAATCATCAGAAAGCACTGCTGCCCAGCAACTCACAGTCTGACAATTCGGGTAAAAACAAAACTCAGCGTCCCCGACTAGACTCTGGCACCATTCTTCAGACGCCAGATATGTGTGGGTTTTCTCCCCGCAAATCACGGAGGTGATCAGTTCTGCTGTGGACACAGGCTGGGTGTGGTCTGTGCAGTTCCATTCTAATTCAGTAATCTCTTCTGACAGCATCTTCCTGGAGACACCCTCAGACCCCACAGGTTAAGGGCTCAGCCCCACGAGACTGGCCCCCACTCCCAGTGCCAAGGCTGTTTGACCGGCGCTTCCGACGGACCACAACTGGGGTCCCCACAACGCCCTTCTCCAGTTCCGTTAATTTGCTGGAGTGGCTCCCGAACTCAGAGACATGTTTTATCTACTTTCACTTATCAGCATAGTATAAAAGGTTACAAAGAATACAGCTGAAGAGATGCGTGAGAGAAAACTAGGGGAAAGGGCTTGGAGATTCAGGGCCTCTCGGACACCGCCCCCAGGAACCCCCACGTGCTATGTGGAAGATCCCTGAACCCAGCCCTTTCGGGTTTTTACAGAAACTTCACTTCACAGGCATGAGTCATCAGCCACCGGTGATCAGCTCAACCTTCAGCCCGTCTCCCCTCCCCGGAGGTTGGGGGTGGGACTCAAAGGCCCCAAAACCTCTAACCCTGCCTCGGTCTCTCCTGCGACCAGCCACTCACTCAGCCTACAAAGGACATCAGTGTGGAGGTTCCAGGGACTCGAGGAGTCGTACGCCGGGAAGAGGGAATGGAAATGGGGTAACACACAGTTCACGATATCACAGTTACCTCAAACTTAAAATGACCCAAACCCACTGCTGATCTCCGCACCCCCAGGCCCGACAGCCCACCCCAAAGAATGAACACCCGCGTCGCCGTGTCCTCCAGCCGCAAACCCCGAGGTCATACTCGCCCTGACGTCGCTACCTCACGGTCAACGGCCGGTGACGGGGAGGCTTCACGCTCCAAACACGCCCGGGATCCAGGGGCTCCCTCCCCGGCCGCCCACCCGAGCCGGCACGCCCAGGTCCCCATCCCCGCGGCAAGCGTCTGCGCCCTCGCCCCGCCCAGCCCCGCCGCCTCCCGGCTCCGGTTCTCGCGGCGGCCTCGCCCAACTGCTGCGGCGCCGGGAGCCCGAGGAGCGCGGCCGGGCCGGGGCCAGGGGCGGGGGTCGGGCTGGGGTGCCGGGGCCTCACCTGGGGCGGGGGCCGCGGCCGCGCGCGGCGGAGGGACTGGGGTCCCGCTGCGGCCGAGGCCCCCCGGCCGCGGGCCCAGCCGCCGCACCAGCCAGCGCACGGCGATCAGCAGCACCGAGGCGCCCAGCAGCTCCCAGGCCAGCGCCGCCCACTCGGCCGCCGCCAGCCGCGGCCACAGCATGGCAGCCACCCGGGCCGCAGCCGCCGAAGAGCCCGCGCCGAGCGCCGCGCCCGTGCCAGGACCCCACGCCGGGCTGCCCGCGCCCCGCCTGACGGCGCCGCGCTCGGGGCGGCCGGGGCGGCTCGGGGACAGGGGCGGCGGCCCCGCTCAAGACTGCTCGGCGTGGGCGCGGCCCCGGCCCCGGGCCCCGAGCGGGCGGGGACGGGCGAGCGCGCGGGCGGGCGTGGCAGGCGGGTCGCGGGCAGCCCGGCGCGGGGTCCTGGGACGGGCGCGGCGCGCAAAGTGCGGGCGGGGGCGGGGCCGGGGCCGGGGCGGGGCCGGGGCGGGGCCGGGGGCGGGGCTCCGGGCGGCCGCGGTGTTCTGTGCTCCGAGCCCGAGGGCCGCGCAGTCCCGGGCAGGAGTCGGGAGGCCCCGCTCACTGGCACGCGAACCGGCCGGACGCTGCGCGGGGAGGGGTGGGGGCCGCCGGAGCTGCCCGTTTCCGTTTCTTCGCCGAGCTGCCTTGACGCGCGCGGTCGGAAGCGTGGGTTTTGCCGGGCACGGCGGCTGCGTCCGGGGTCCTAGCGCCTTGGGAGGCCAGGCGGGAGGATCTCCTCTGCCCAAGAGTTCGAGACCAGCCTGGGCAGATAGTTTGAAAGTCACGGCAAAGGCCGCAATTACTTTTGCACCGACGTAATAGACCCTGTCTCGAAAGAAGATGGAGGATTGTACTGTGTGTCAACCCTGTAACCCCAACACTTTGAGAGGCCCAGGCGGGCGGATCCCCTGAGGTCAGGAGTTCGAGACCAGCCTGGTCAACGTGGCGAAACCCCATCTCTACTAAAAATATAAAAATTAGCCGGGTGCGATGGCACGCGCTTGTAGTCCCAGCTACTTGGGAGGCTGAAAGGCAGGAGAATCGCTTGAACCCGGGAGGCGGAGGTTGCAGTGAGCCAGGATCGTGCCACTGCACTCCAGCCTGGGGACAGAGTGAGACTCAGGAAGGCCCCATCGATGCACTAGAAATGGGCCCTCACCACCTACTCAGTCTGCAGGCACCTGATCTTGCCTTTCCAAGCCTGCAGAACTGAGAGATTTCTGCTAATCCTAATCTCCCCAGTTTACGGTATTTTATTAGAGCAGCCAGAACGGACTGAACGGAAAGACAACCTTCCAGTGGCACAGCAGTGCAGCCCTAGCGATTCACCCTAGAGCAACGAACTTGGAAATCCACAGAGATTTGTTCAAAATATGGTAGCCTCAAACTGGGAACACCCCAAAAGAATGTCAGTAGGTAAACAGACAAATTGTGAAATTGTCATAGGCACATGCTATCATTATCGCATAGTCATATACTATTGAGGAACAACATGGCTGAATCTCAAAAATACACCATGCAAAAGAAACCAAACATAAAGAATGCATACAATTCCATTTGTTGTTGTTGGTTTTTTTTTTTTTTTTTTCTTTTTTGAGATGAAGTCTCTTGTGTCTCCCAGGCTGGAGTGCAGTGGTGTGATCCCAGCTCACTGCAACCTCCGCTCCCCTGGGGTTAAAGTGATTCTCTTACCTCAGCCTCCCAGGTAGCTGGGATTATAGGTGCATGCCACCACGCCTGGCTGATTTTAATATTTTGAGTAGAGACAGGGTTTTGCCATGTTGGCCGGGCTGGTCTCGAACTTCAGACCTCTGGTAATGCACCCCTCCCCCTGCCACCCAGCTGGGATGACAGACATGAGCCATCCCATCCAGCTGCCATTTATGTCTTTTTTTTTTTTTTTTTTTTTTTTTTTTTTTCAGACAGAATTTGGCTCTTGTTACCCACTGTATCTGGCCCACCATTTATGTCTTAAGAACAGGAAAGCTGCTGGGCCCGGTGGTTCACGCCTGTAATCCCAGCACTTTGGGAGGCCAAGGCGGGTGGATCACGAGGTCAAGAGATCGAGGCCATCCTGGTCAACATGGTGAAACCCCGTCTCTACTAAAAATACAAAAGTTAGCTGGGCATGGTGGCACGTGCCTGTAATCCCAGCTACTCAGGAGGCTGAGGCAGGAGAATTGCCTGAACCCAGGAGACGGAGGTTGTGGTGAGCGGAGATCGCGCCATTGCACTCCAGCCTGGGTAACAAGGGGGAAAGTCTGTCTCAAAAAAAAAAAAAAAAACAGAATAAGGAGTACCTTGTTAGAATGAAACCTTGCCATTGCCATTTTTGATTAGTAGGTACTTGAGAACACTACTCTGTCCTTAGCGCCTCCCAGTTTTGACCTCTTTATGAACATGGGCCATCGCTGCTGCCTACCTCTGGGTAACTGGGTGAATTACCTACTTCCCTGAGCCTCAGGCTTCTTATTGGTAAAATGAGGATGATCATAGTATCTACTTGGCTGGGCACAGTGGTTTATGCGTATAATCCCAGCACCTTGGGAGGTGAATGTGGGAGGATTACTTGAGCCCAGGAGGTGGAGACCAGCCTGGGCAACATGGCAAGACTCCGTCTGTACTGAAAATTTCTTTTCTTTTTTTTTTTTTTTTTTTTGAGACGGAGTTTCGCTCTTGTTACCCAGGCTGGAGTGCAATGGCTCGATCTCGGCTCACCGCAACCTCCGCCTCCTGGGCTCAGGCAATTCTCCTGCCTCAGCCTCCTAAGTAGCTGGGATTACAGGCACGCGCCACCACGCCCAGCTAGTTTTTTTTTTGTATTTTTAGTAGAGACGGGGTTTCACTATGTTGACCAGGATGGTCTCGATCTCTCGACCTCGTGATCCACCCGCCTCGGCCTCCCAAAGTGCTGGGATTATAGGCTTGAGCCACCGTGCCCGGCTTTGTACTGAAATTTTAAAAAAATTAGCTGGATATGGCGGCTCATGCTTTGAGGAGGGAAGATCACTTGAGCCTGGGAGTTCAAGGCTGCAGTGAGCCAAGATTGCGCCGCTGCACTCCAGCCTGGGAGAGAGAGACAGAGAGACAGAGTGAGACCCTGTCTAAAAAACAGACACATACATATATAAATAAAAAGGTAATTATGTAAGTCCTTGCTACAGAGCCTCCATACATGAGGGGCTTTATAACGAGTTGTTACACTACTTTGATAGTTTAAACCATAAATTCAAGTTTTACATATATGCATGCCATAGAGGGGTGGCAGGTTCCCGCCCATCATAGGGACTTTGTCATCTGAATCATAAACCCAAGTAGCTCTGGGAGAACTGAGAACTGACTTGGAAAATGGTCAGTTGTGGTCAACTGCTGCCACAGTGTCCACTCTCCAGCCTTTAGTAACAGAACCTCCCAGTGGGCAGGGGACATGCTGCCATCCCCTGAACACATCCAGTGGCCATGTGACTAAGCAAAGGCGATGGAGAGTGGCTGGATGGTGACAGATGCAGCCATGGAGCTGACCTTACAGCGTGAGTCCCTGTCCTTCCTCTCCCTTCTCACCGTGGAGGGGGACTGGAAGTGGGACCGGGAGAGCTGTTCTCGGGAGGCGGACGCTGAGGATCAGCAGGGGTGGACGGCATTTTTGTTCTCGCACCGGGAAGCTGTCCTGGTCAGTCCTGTTTTAATGCTTGAGGGCTCTAGTGCAGCAGTTCCACCAGCCTGAGCAGATCTTGACACTGGGACTTCTGTGGAATCCAGGTAAGCAGCTAGGGTCCTAGTAGGGCCGTGCCCTCACCCCCATCTGATGCATCCACACCCAGTTAAATGAGAAGGGAATAATCACAGGAAAACGTGGAGAAGAACTCCACAGTTCAGCTGCCAACCGTATATTGGCCACTGTTTAGGCAAAAATGAACAAATTTGAGATGTAAACGTCTGCAGGTAGAAGTGGACTCCCAATGAATGAACGAAATGAAACTTACTAGAATCAGCGGCCTTTTCTGAGAGCAATTCTGATTTTATTTCTAATTGTAGCTTAACTTCCACTTTATGTCTGATCCCAGGTCACAAGGGGGCCGTGTGAGCCCCAGGGATTGAGTGGGGAGGTCTAATCTACACCTGTCTCGAACATCCTTCAGTGAGAGAAGAGTAAGAACGTGCTTGTTTGGGGAATCGAGACATTTCAGAGGGCAGGAGGTGAGGATGGAGGTGACCTGTCTGCCCAGAGGGCGGCAGGCACTGCTGCTTCGGTCGGTGAGGATCTGACCGTAAGACCAGCTTCCCACTGGCCACAGAAAGGTTTAATCGGAGGAGTAAGAGGGTCTGATCTGCGTTTGCAAGAGAGGCCACCGCTGTAACGTGAGGAATGCATTGGAAAGGTGTGGAGTCCAGGCAAGGAGGTCTTGTGTGGCCTTGGGTAATAATGTAAAATAGACCTACAGGCTGGCCCCAGGCCTGGCTGTAAAATGCCCCCAGACACACATGCCAGCACCTTCAGTCTTGATGGCACCTGAGAGCAGGCTCCTGTAGCAGCAGGAATGACCAGAGGTGAACGCATCCCAATTGCCCAGTAACTGCTGTGAACCGAGACGGAGGGAGGCAAGTCTCCGGCAGTCTTTCACAGCTTTAGAATTTACACTTTACAGGCCCGATTCAGATATATTTCCGTTTTTTGAGACAGGGTCTCACTCTGTCACCCAGGCTGGAGCACAGTGGCTGGATCACTGCTCACCGCAGCCTTGACCTCCTGCACTGGAGCGATCCTCACGCCTCAGCCTCCCACGCGCTGGGATTACGAGCGTGAGCCACCGCACCCAGCTTATGTTTCTATTTAATCTTCATAGTAGACCCAGGTAGGTGGAACAATGTGATATTATCCCACTTACGGAAAACACAGCCCCAGGAATAAGCCCTAGATTAACAGGGAGTAGCTATTTTTTCCTTCCTCTTCTTTTTTCAGTATTAATTGGGTTACCTTACTTTAAAGGCCATTCAGACTGTTATCGAGGGCTGTTTAATGCTTGTGAAATGGCCTGTGTTACATGCAGTAGGTTCTGGTCAGGAAAACAGCGCAGTCCAGGTGGTTCCACAGAGGAAATGCAGGCACAGGGACCACCCTGGTGGGATGCCAGAGACCCTAAGCTGGAAGAGGTCACGGGCCCCAAGGAGAAAGGCACAGACTCCACAACCAGGCAGGACCTGGGCTAATGCAGGGAATGAAGGCGCC